GGTGCATATTTTATAAATCATTTCGCTATTACCTTCCAATCTCTTTTGGAGCATATCCCAAAGAGTATTTTCTATTTTCTCGTTGATTTGTGTCAATTTTTATTGTTCCATCATTTCCGTAGCCTGCAATGACATTCCCTCATAGTTTTATTAGTATTCAATCATAGTTTCCACTTCTTTGAGCATATAATTGATGACATCGTTCCTAGCTTCTTGCAACATGTCGATATGATGTTCTAGATTCAATAGATTGATTTCGTCCAATAATCCACTATGATATAATGTGACTAAAATAACGAGCATCTCTATTTGTTTGAATTCCTCAATGTGTGCTTTCATGGCTGACTTTTATTTGGCAGTTCTGTATTGAAATGAATCCGTGAATTGACTCACAATGGCCGAAATAACTTTGTAGAACTCTCCCTTCTTATCCAAGATCTACTGAAGGTACTTATTTTGTTGTTGAGACAATTGGAGAAGATCGATATTAGTTTTTTGGATTTCTCTCGCCTTGTAATTAATTGTGATGAGATCTCCTTTCAATTGTTGATATTTGTTCTTGAGTTGAGAATTGGCTCCTGCATTTTCATGTAATAGTGTGGCATCATCATAAGACATACTAGAGATCGACACCTGCCCCAATACTTTAATAAGATGTTTGTCGAATTGGAATCCAGATCTTCCATTCTTCAGAATATTCCACCTCAAGAGATGCTGATTGCTTTCTTCATTGGCTGTTCTGTTCTCGTTGAATCCCAATAAGGATTAAATGTTCTCCAAAATTACCATATGTAAAACATTACTCACATGATAAGTGTCTCCGTACACTGGACGAATAGTAATTTTGAATCCCCATCTATTGAGTGAATGCTCATTTCTGACTTATCCACTTGGACTGAAGTCAGCTTGAATCACATTGCCAAGCATCAGAATAGGTCGTTTAGTACTTAATTTACCTGAAATTCTATATGATACTCCCATTGGATCTTTCAATTTTGATTACTATCCAAAAGGTCCACTATGAGGAGAGTACCAAGAATTAATTGTTAAGAAATCATGGGCTTAATCACTTGAACATCTTGGATCAAAATCCACAGCCAAGGCCAATGCACCTGGGAAGTAGGTATCTTCAAAAGTCTACACTTTCTATCGTTCATATGGGTGACTAGTCTCGAACACTTTATATCCAATAGGATCGATGCCTTGGGTTCGAGAGGGAGTTGTAGACAATTCAATGTTTTGGTTAATCTACATCAAACTGGACAAGAGACTACAATCAATGGGACATTAAAGGACAGGGGATAAAAATAATTAGAGCAGGAAATGAGTCAGAAAATTGTGTTTGATTATTAATTCTTTGACTTCTTTGTTGGTTACTCCCAATTCGAAGACTTGTAATATATTGAATGCTAATTTGTGTTACACTTCCCATTCATTATCATCATTAAATGCCATATTGAATACCATGTTTAAGAATTGCCATTTAGTTAAGTCAGATTGAGTTGCCCATTCTTTAGCCAATATCCAAAATTGTTGATTAATTTGAGAGATGTCACAATCTACGAAATAGCCCTTATTGTAAACCTTCTTGAATAATTTTGAACTCTAAACTGCATCAATTAACAATCTGGGCAATGGTTCAATCAGAAAATGCTAAGTGCCTTTTTTGTGGATGCATGATTTGAAATCTCCATCCAAATTAGCATTTTTGGATTTCAATTTCAATATGGCAGATTCTGTCTCTGGTTGAATGCTCGAATAGGTAGACAATATTTGCTGTAATAATTGATTGTCTCCCAATTTCAGATACTGTAACTGGAGTGAATTTGAACACATAAAGAGAGTCCAACCTTTAATGAAGATGTTTCTTTGTAATTCACTTTGCCAATTTTATATCAGGTATTCCCCAATCTCCTTTAATAGATCGTGCACTCCGACATTCAACAAGATTGACAATTCACTATATTGAACCCAATATTGCAACAGTTGAAGGTATTGAATCTTATGGAACTTCTTGAACAACGACCAAATCTGTTTCAATTCATCATATGTACCCTCTACACAAAAGGCATAAACCTTTCTAATCTCCACTTCACTTCTTGAATTATCGATCGAGAGAAGCAATTTGTTTAATCGGTAACTATACTTGGATTTTTCATTTTGTATTTTCTTGAGATCCTCTTCTGAGAAACGCTCAGTGAGATTTCTCAAATTCTTGAGCATTATTTGATATGCAACATACCAATCATTCAATCTCCAATCCTAATCATAACGCTATTCTTATTATTGAAGTAGGAAGTTAACTACTTCTTCATCGAAGTTGGTGGCTGGAGTCAAGTTCAGATTTAATGGTCTATGTATGAAATCAGATCCTATGGTCACTAAGGCAGGAAACTATAAATCTGTGGAGTTCCATTGAATGTGCATAACATAGAACCTTTTTGTATTGTGCTCATAAGACACAATGTAATTGGGATTCTAATAGAATTCATTGAGGTATTTATTGACTGTCGTAATATAGGTGCCTTTAAGAGTCAAATTTGAAGCTGAGGGTTTTTTGGTTGTGTAATGATCTCTGAGATTGAATTCATCCTTAGACTGATCGAGTTCTTTTTCATCAGCTGGATCCTTAGAAAAAATCTTTACTCCAAATTCGAAGTAAGCAGTCACATATCTTCTATCCATGGTCCAAATGATATTGCTAATGATTTACGGTTATAAGATGGATCCCTCCTTACACCCGATGTCAGCACTGCTCTTTACCTATTTTGCTGAGATGTCAGTAGTGATCTCAGCCTAACACAGTAAGGTTTATTTTGAAACAGAAACGGTTGTTTTATTTCTCTCCTTCTCCCCTTCTTCAACCAACCATTGAGCAGCATTTTACATATCATTTTTATTCAGATTCAATGCTTTGCTAATCTCTGCCTTGCTGAAATACCCTTAAAATGACTCATACAATTCAGCCAATAGTTTCTTATCAGATTCTTCTTCATTTTATACATTTCCTGTTGGTTTATTCAAATCGAATTCAAACAGAATGAAATCCATAATCTTGATTGTGTTATCAACTGGTTGCTGTTCAGCCTCTTTCTTCTTTTATGCTCTAGAAGTGGAAGCTGCTGGTTCCTTAATCACTTTGGCTGGTGCTCCTTCCACTTTAGTAATATTTAGTTTTCTTCCGATAATGAATAATTTCTCCCCATCTGTAATCAATGGATAATTCTTGTTTATTGCCTGCATTTGAGGATGCTAAAATAGTTCTGGACAATGGAGAGTCATTTGACTCAAGGTCTGAAATGTGTCAGGACAAATGATATCCAAAGTTCCATTCTGCTGTTTCAGGTATAATTTATTCTACAGGAATACCCATTGGACATCATCTTGCTTTTTCAGTGGTTAATGGAGATATATCTTACCAGCTATGGTTCCACCTTCTCCTGTGCCCACCTTGTACATTCCACCTACTGGGGAACTCACCAAGATGTACAGGTAACATTAAGAGGATGTCATTGTCATTTGATGGTAATTTAACTTAGTGAATTGCTGTAATTAGGTAATTGTGAATCCTCCTTGATCGCACAAGGATCTCATATAATGTAAGTGACGACTTTTTTATTGCAATCTGGGCAACTTTACTATTTCTCTTATATTTAAATCACAAAGACTCAACATCTACTTAAACGTTCCGACTCTCAATGCATAATCGATCAAGATCTTTGACAATTGTTTATGATCCATCTCCTTTGCTAATCGTTGTAAATTCTTGTCGATGCTCTGTCTCGAGTAATCTGGCTCGTAGAAGAGAGACAATAGCTCTTATTTGCATAATGACTTGTGAAAATCTTCCAATCCCCAAGGCCATCTTGTTGGATTCGATTACAAAGCAGAACAGCTTGTTACTCCTTAACACTATTTAAACACTTCGTATGCGCACTCGTGATCTAAAATTACAGATTCTTCTTCTTACATTATGCCATTACAATGGGTCTCTCTATTTTGCTCTTGTTGATCTTATTCAGCATCATACTAGCCCGACTAAAGTATTCATTCCTAGAGTTCAAGAGACTCTCTGTCAAATGTCGAGATGAATGTTGTATCAAATTAAAATAATCCTATCTACTCTATTTACGATACTTCACTACCTTAATTTAATATACGCCGATCTCGTGAAGTCTACTTGCTCCAGATAAGCATCAAACCCAGAAACCTCTTCACCCCTAGTTAAAGACTTTTCTGATAATCCATCCGTCTCTTTCATCGACAACAAATATAACCAATCCAAATTCTCAATCAATAAACTCGGATCTAAAAAACTAAGTGATGTGCTTGGAATATGTTGCGGAAAACTCATTAAATTTATTTTTTTAATATTAAAACAACACGATCATTTAAATCTGGATATCAAGTATCTTTATAAACCCTGATCAATAGGAGAATATAAATATCTGCATCAAATCACTTGAATAATAACGTGAACCAATAAAAGTACCTATAAACATTATTATAATTTTTTATTAAATAATTCTGTCCTATTAATCAAATTTCCTTTCAAAAATTCACAAAACAACTCCTCCCATATTTACAACTACTACTGTCCATCACATAATCACATCCCAATTCCTGATAACATCGATTCCAACTCCGTAATTCACAAAGTGATTTTCGAGAATTCTGCATCGATCTTAATAGAATCACCCATACGATTAATGTATCCATTCACAAGCAGAATCCTGTTTAATTCGACTTAAAATCTGAAATGTCATTTAAATTCCGTTGACTTTAAGTACTCCTTATATTTTTCATATTATTCGCTACTTTATAAATATTTTGACACTGCTTCCTTTCATTCGAACTTATCATCAATAGAGATCAAGTTCGCAAGTACCAAATAAGAATTAATTCAGAAAATCTAAAATAATTTGTTTTTTTGCGCCAAAAGTATAAATTGTGGCAAAGTTGGTACGTAAAGTTTTGTTATTTATTAAAATAAATTAAATCAAATGAACCCATAAGATGCGCCATAACAGGATTTAATCTACAGGGACTTCCTCGAAAGATTTCTCAGTAACATAGACATTGCACAAATCGAAGCCATGAGACAACAAAACAAAATTAGATTCCCAATCAATTTAGATCTTTTGAGATAGGAATCGAGATAACAATACCCTAACTTGTAAAACAGTTATATTTATGTATACTTTAGAGTTGATGACTTGATTAGAAATCCAACTGATTTTATTAGAGTTTTCCAACAGAAATTAAGTCAAATATGCAAACAATTACAAGATCAATAGGAAGATGATGATAAAAAGGGAGTGTAGACTGATAAAACATATAAAATCTACTTTGAAGGTAAATTAGGAAAGAATTACGTGACTCCAAGAGGTTTGGGAGCTGCATAAATAAATTAATTAGTTTGCACATAAGCAATAGTAACTAAAATGTCTTTGGTTTTGTTGAAACTACAGAAATCAGTTCACTTTATAGAGAAGAAGAACCAATTCAAATAAGTGGAATACTTCAATAACATGGATCCAAGTGCTAGGACATCCTCAAGATAAGTTAGAGTAGTATAGAAGAAGGATGAAGAAGGTAACCCTATGATTTTTGAATTTGGGTTAAGTGATCTAAATGACATGTAGACATTAGTGGTCTAAGAGTTGCCAGAGAGAACCCCCACTGGAATGTTGCCAAGATCACTAGAAGTCATTTTAGATTAAGATTTAGTTGATAGAGTGAAACCAGGAGACAGAGTCGAAGTATTTAAACATAAAAATAACCATAGATTACTGGAGTGTATAAGTGTATTCCAAATTCATCGACTAAGGCAAATGGAACCTTCAGAACTACTTTGATAGCATAGAACATTAAAGTAATGAATGCTGTACAAGAAACAAAGATATCAGAAGTTGATATCAGGCACATCAAAGAAATTGCCAAAAAGCCAAGTATTTAATGATAATAATGTAAGATCTTTTGGAATACATGTCAAAATCCATAGCTCCATCAATATTTGGACATGGGATTGTTAAGTAGTCCGTGCTGTTGCAGTTGTTAGGAGGAACGGAAAAGAATTTAGAGACAGGAACTCATTTAAGAGGAGATATCAATATTCTTTTGATAGGAGATCCCTCAACTGCTAAATCCTAATTACTTAGATATGTTATGGGAACTGCTCCATTGGTAGTTACTACAACAGGTAGAGGAACATCCAGTGTTGGTTTGACTGCTGCAGTTAAGAGGGACAATGAAACAGGAGAGAATACATTGGAGGCAGGTGCCATGGTTTTAGCAGATGGTGGAGTTATTTTGATAGATGAGTTTGATAAGATGAATGAAATAGATAGAGTAGCAATTCATGAAGTAATGGAATAACAAACAGTCACTATTGCAAAGGCTGGAATACATTGTTCATTAAATGCAAGATGTTCTGTTTTAGCTGCTGCAAATCCTCTTTATGGTGAATATCAATTAGATATGGCTCCAACTAAAAATATTGGTTTACCAGATTCTTTATTGAGTAGATTTGATTTGTTGTTTATTATATTGGATGAAAAGAAGAAGGATATTGATAGAAAGGTAGCTGAAAGAGTTACAAAGAATCACAGATACAAGGGATAATATGATGAGGAAGAAAATATTGGAGATATCATTTAACCTATGGCTTAGATGAGTATCAAATAAGAGATTTCTCCTTTTGTTCAATAATCTGCCATCTATCATTCAAACGATCAAAAAGACCTATTGACATAATCATTCCTTAAGAAATATATCATGTATGCAAAAGAAAATTATCCCAATGTGATCTTAGATGATGAGGCAGCGGAGGAAGTGACTAGACAATGGACCAAAATGAGACAAAATGATTTGTTAGAAAAATAAATCAGAACTCAACCCATCACTATCAGATCTTTAGAATCATTAATCAGACTGGCTTCAGCTCATGCTAAATTAAGACTATCTAATGTAGTAACCAAACAAGATGTTAAGATTGGAGCCAAACTAATGAAAATCTCTTTACAAATGGATTAAGATGAGGAAGTTGAAGACAATAAAAAACCAAGTGGTAGAAAGTCAAGTCTATAAAGACTTAAAAGTGAATAGCCTTTATCTGCGGGAAGATAAAAGATTGAGTCCGAATAACCTAAGTAGGAAGAACAAGAAAATCAACTTATTGTTAAGAGTGATAAGAAGAAGTAAAAATAGGATGATCCCAAAGATAAGGAAGCTGAGTTCCATTTATACTTGCAATAGGCTCATTCATAAAACATCACAAGAGATTAATTGAAGGCTGTCCATAAGGTGTTGAGAGACTTCAAAGAAAAAGTATATTAATATATCATTATCTTAGCTTCATCAAGATGTTGTTGATATCGATATTATCTGGGGAGAACTGTAAAGTTAGAGTAGAATCATTATTGCTGATTATTTATAATTCTTAAAATGCCTTCTGGAATTGGATAAACAAGAAAAGGTCTAATTTGATGACAAGAAAAGAACTGTGTAGTTATTATGATTTTGGATTGTTTTTTTTTTCAAGCAAATTTAATCTATTTTTTTGTTCAAATTCATTTCCTTATTATTACATTAAAATTTATATCTTTTTTAAAAAAATATATAATGGCAGACGTCCAGACATAAAGAGCATTCCAAAAGCAAGAAGGTATCTTCTAGAACTCAAAAAAACTTTTGGCCAAGAAAACAACAAAAGGAGTTAGATATTGGAAAGAAGTTGGACTTGGATTCAAAGTACCAAAGGAAGCAATTGAAGGACATTACATTGATAAGAAGTGTCCATTCACAGGAAATGTCAGTGTCAGAGGAGCCATCTTAAAGTATGATATTAATAAAACTATCCNTTACCAGATTCTTTATTGAGTAGATTTGATTTGTTGTTTATTATATTGGATGAAAAGAAGAAGGATATTGATAGAAAGGTAGCTGAAAGAGTTACAAAGAATCACAGATACAAGGGATAATATGATGAGGAAGAAAATATTGGAGATATCATTTAACCTATGGCTTAGATGAGTATCAAATAAGAGATTTCTCCTTTTGTTCAATAATCTGCCATCTATCATTCAAACGATCAAAAAGACCTATTGACATAATCATTCCTTAAGAAATATATCATGTATGCAAAAGAAAATTATCCCAATGTGATCTTAGATGATGAGGCAGCGGAGGAAGTGACTAGACAATGGACCAAAATGAGACAAAATGATTTGTTAGAAAAATAAATCAGAACTCAACCCATCACTATCAGATCTTTAGAATCATTAATCAGACTGGCTTCAGCTCATGCTAAATTAAGACTATCTAATGTAGTAACCAAACAAGATGTTAAGATTGGAGCCAAACTAATGAAAATCTCTTTACAAATGGATTAAGATGAGGAAGTTGAAGACAATAAAAAACCAAGTGGTAGAAAGTCAAGTCTATAAAGACTTAAAAGTGAATAGCCTTTATCTGCGGGAAGATAAAAGATTGAGTCCGAATAACCTAAGTAGGAAGAACAAGAAAATCAACTTATTGTTAAGAGTGATAAGAAGAAGTAAAAATAGGATGATCCCAAAGATAAGGAAGCTGAGTTCCATTTATACTTGCAATAGGCTCATTCATAAAACATCACAAGAGATTAATTGAAGGCTGTCCATAAGGTGTTGAGAGACTTCAAAGAAAAAGTATATTAATATATCATTATCTTAGCTTCATCAAGATGTTGTTGATATCGATATTATCTGGGGAGAACTGTAAAGTTAGAGTAGAATCATTATTGCTGATTATTTATAATTCTTAAAATGCCTTCTGGAATTGGATAAACAAGAAAAGGTCTAATTTGATGACAAGAAAAGAACTGTGTAGTTATTATGATTTTGGATTGTTTTTTTTTTCAAGCAAATTTAATCTATTTTTTTGTTCAAATTCATTTCCTTATTATTACATTAAAATTTATATCTTTTTTAAAAAAATATATAATGGCAGACGTCCAGACATAAAGAGCATTCCAAAAGCAAGAAGGTATCTTCTAGAACTCAAAAAAACTTTTGGCCAAGAAAACAACAAAAGGAGTTAGATATTGGAAAGAAGTTGGACTTGGATTCAAAGTACCAAAGGAAGCAATTGAAGGACATTACATTGATAAGAAGTGTCCATTCACAGGAAATGTCAGTGTCAGAGGAGCCATCTTAAAGTATGATATTAATAAAACTATCCAAACAGAGGAATTGTCATCTCCACCAAAATGACCAGAACAATTATTATCAGAAGAGATTATTTACATTATGTTGCCAAATACAATAGATATGAAAAGAGACACAGAAATGTTCCAGTCCACATCTCACCAGCTTTTGGACCAGTCAAGGAAGGTGATATTGTTGTTTGCGGATAATGCAGGTATTCAATTCATTGATTTAATTCAGACCATTATCAAAAACTGTTAGATTCAATGTATTGAAAGTCATCCCTAATGAAATTATTGGTAACGTTAGAAAGCAATTTGTTTTGTTTTGATTTCATAAATCAATAGTACATTATATAAAAATTGATAATTTTCTTCAAAATTTATTTTTCAATCCTTAAATAATCTAAACCACTTAGAGTCTTACTAAGCTTAAGTACTTTATTCCTATTGAGCAATTCCAGGTGCCTTAACAACATCATCATGACAATAATCAAAAAATCGTTCAGCCTCATGAGATCTGTCTGGATCAAGTCCAATCAATAACAAAAAGTCCACAAATTGTTCCTTGGTTACTAAAAATTATATTGATAATTCATACTATATTTCTCTGGATTGGATTTGAAATTGAATTTCTTATGTTCTGCCCATAAATTGAATAAAGTGCTCAAATCATAATTCTATTGATCTCCCTTATAAATAATTTTATTATATTTTCTAGCCTTGAGCAGATGGTTGATTGTCTTAAAAAATTTGAATAGAAATTCTTTCATTTTCTACTATAATACACTATTCTTACTAGATTTTTCAAATAAAACTCTTCTCTTTCATTTTTATTGAGCTTTTCCTTCTGTTTATCCTGTGGTACCACTTGCTGTTATTGAATGACTTTTGCAGATTAAGGTCTCTTCTTTCCCTCTTATTTCATAACTTTATTGATTCTCAAAGATTCGACATGAGTGCTCTTATCCCAAATATCTGGGTGTTTCATTTAGGATTCAACTGAATTCTTTTTGAAAATCTTCTTTATATAAATATAAGGATTAGCTAGATGCTCTTACATTAAAGGCTTCTCTTTCTCTAACATGGGAGGAGGTCTTATTTTGAAATAAATCATACTTTAATTCAATTTTGTTTGCCTACAACACCAAATCCGCTTGAGGTTCAACTAGCGGATCCTCTGGTTTAGGTCTCTACTTTTATTTCATCCTTTAAGCATACCATTCCTACTCCTTTTATTTAGCTTCATTTTTTATGATCCTCGGGTCTTCAAATTAGTGTATTGGATTAATAATTCCCATTTGCAATTTCTATCTTTGAGATCCTTGAGTGGCTGTGATCTGTTTTGGTGGTACTTTGGCTTCATCTGAAAACACAGGTGGTCGGTTATTAAAAACTTGAAGTAATTTTTCCTTCTATTCTTCAGGTGTCAACTTTGAATGCTCTATTCTTGCCTCCTTTTAATGTCTTGCATAAAGTGACAAATTCTAGTTGGAATGGAGCTAGGAATTTATATTAGAATATATATCAGACATTATTATAATTAATTCAATGGATTAGGCGTAGAATGAGGATATGAGACTATATCCTTGCAGTAATTGCTCAGAATAATATCCTTATTGTTTCCTTCCTGATCACTTAGAAAGTTGTCTATAAGAGAGCTTGTAAGTCGAGTGTCGATACTGTGGAGAGAGCGTACTGGAGAAATTTATGCAGAATCATTAATAGAATTGCAAAGCATATGCTTTGTAAGATACTGAGGATGATGTTTGTGAATTTTGCAAAGAGAAAATATTTAAGAAATTTAAATAGGATCACTACTCAGATTGCCCATTGAAGCTAGTTGCTGACTCTTATTAATCCTATAAGGCTCAAGAATGCCCAATTTGTTTAGTAGAAATTGGACCTGCTGATCAAAAAGGAGTTCTCTAATGTTGCCATGTATTTCATTAAGGATGTCTATAAGAATGGCAAAAAAAAAGTTTAGAATGCCCAGTCTGCAGATATAGTTGAAAATTCAAATTTTCTATTGCGAAAATTTTATACTTTATTAATTTTTATTATAATTGATTGTGTGAATGCATCAAAGAAAGCAATATATTTTCATTATGATATGCAACCAATAGATATTTCTGGTTGTTTCTCTAATAAATTTGTGACAAACATCTTAAAATATTCTCTATATCCCTGTTGACTCTATGAATTCCATACAAAATTAGAATGGTACTCCCTTTTTAAAATATAGTAACAAATAATGAATTCATTTTTTTAAGTGCTTTTACAATCAAAATGAACCTCAAAACTTTATAGAATTAAATATTTGACCAGATTAAAATTTGCCAACAAATTTTTGCATGCCTAAGTCCTAAAAATTATTTGATAATCAATTTTAATGCGTAATAAATTGTGTATAATATTTTCTGTTTTTTTCTTTTGTCTTTTTAGAACTTTATGGTGGAATTTTTTATAAGAAATTAAAAATTAATTTATGAATAAGGATTCTCTATTTTATGGTCTATTTTTTGGAGCCATTCCATTTTTCATTATTGTCTCAAAGTGGAGAATTGACAGTTTGAAATTTCAAAAGAAAGAGAGCTTATACAAAAAATAATTACAGTGCTATACAGAAATAGAAGAAAAGAAAAATGAATAAAAGCAGAAGCACTTGAAAAATGATGCGGAATAAGGCGACACCATAGAATATAACTTAATAAATATATTAGTGAAAGACCATCGTCTTAGAGTTAGAAAAATTTGTATAACTGGTGGTCCATGTGCAGGTAAAACCACAGGGTTAAATTATCTTGCAGAAAAACTCAAAGAAAGAGGATTTTCAGTTTACATTGTCCCAGAAGCAGCTACAACATTGTTTATGGGAGGAGGAATGTTAGATCTAGACAATTATTCAGCTGAAGATAAAATGACTTTTTAAATGAATTTACTAAATTTGTAAATGAAGTTAGAGCATTGTTTCTATGTGCTTGCAATGTTATGTCCACCGAATAAGACTCCCGTATTGTTATGTGATAGAGGACTAATGGATGGCAAGGCCTACATGGATCAAAATGAGTGGTACGAAATGATCGGAAAATATAACTTGGAAGAAGTCAAATTGAGAGATGAGAGATATGATGCTGTTGTGCATATGGTAACAGCCGCAGACAGCACTGATTGCTATAGTACTTTGAATAACAAAGCACGTCACGAAACTTAATAATAAGCGTTGGAAATGGATCATAAAACTTAAAGTGCTTGGTCTGGACATCCAAACTTAATTAAGATTGACAACCATAGTGTTAAATCTTTTAATGACAAATTAGATTGGTTACTTCGAGAAGCTTTGAAAATTTTGGGTCATCCTATCCCATAAAAGGAAATCGGGAAAACAAGATAATTTTATTTAGAGAAAGATATGAAATTCGAAGATATTCGAGATGTAAAATATATGATTAAGTATAGGAACATTAAATTATTGAAATTAAAAAGACTTATTTAATTCCATAATATGAAAACTGTTCTCTTGTTTTATTGCAAAGAATTCATGAAGGAAGATAATAATTATACATTAAAGAAAAGCTTTTTGAGAATGATACTATGGTTAAAGCTAATATGATCAAACTTGATAAGAATGACTTCGAACTATTCAAGAAGATAAAAGATCCAAACTACATGGAAATATCCATTAAGAAAGTATGTTTCACTTATGAAGGATAATATATTGTCGTTAATGAATATGTAGGTAGTTGCTAAGTGATTAAAATAAAAAATTGTAAAGAAAATTAATAAATTAAATTTCCTCCATATGTAGATTAAAAAGGAATGGAAGAGTCAAATGAGGTATTTATTGTTTTTGAATTTAGAAAATTACTGCTCGTCTTTTTGCCAAAAAATATAAAAACGAACCTAATCTTCAACTCAGATCAAATTCAGATAAATATAAATTCAGAAAATTGTCTTTCACAGATGATATAAATGAATAAGCCATCAAATAAGACCTTGAGGGATTTCACCTCGATTAAAAAGTGGCAGACAAAAACACTCAAGTTCCCTAACCAAAATAAAATTGATTAATAGTATATGTCCATAAAACAAACTATAGTTTTTCACTTTTATTACGCTTTTCTTAAAATCAATTCAATTAGATATTAAAACTAAATATTTTCAAACTAATTATATTAATAATGAACATGAACTAAACTATTGATTGTTTTGGGTAGAATATATTTTTTCAATAAATAGTCCAGACAATCTAATAATACATGAAAGACCTCTCACAATAAGTTACATTGATGAAAATAGCCCCTAAAAATTTTGTAATCTCTCATAATTACTTGCATCTCAAAATACCAAAAGGACAAAAAAGATATCCAGAAGATCATTATATCAAGTCAACCTAAAAGATTATTATTATTAAACATACATTCCAACTCGATCTCCACCAAGCCTATAACTATAATTACAAAATTACTAATACAATACATCGAAATCAACGAACACTAGGAAAAATAAATTCATTAAATAAAAGGAGGCTAAATGTAAGACTCTTCCTTTAAACGATTTCAATTATGATGAAATATAGAAAAGAATCGAATTGAAAAAGATGATGCTCGAAAAAATGTATCTCATCAAAGATAATTAAAAAACTTAAACAATTAAAACTGATAAAACAGAAGAAGTTTTCATACCTTAAAAATTGAAAACTGATGTCTCCATTTAATGTAACAATAAATAAAAGAAAAACTAAGAAATTTAGACTTATAGACCTACCTAATCACGAATAGGGTCATCTTATTACAATAATAGAAAAATGAATAATACTTTTCAAGCTATGCCTTTGTCTTTGGGGTTAAACATTGAGAAATGTAAAATTGTAGAGAGGTTCACTTAATCACCATTCTATTCTAGAACAAGTAAAAAGATAAGCTAAAAAAATTGTAGTGTTGGAGATAGGGGTTAAAAGTTTATGATCATGCAAAAACCAATCATGGAACAATTTTGCTTATAAAAGAAATCATCAATACCTGTTGCAAAATGGGATCATTCTGATTTGGAAAATGATTGAATAATTAATTTGTTAAGTATTTTTTTTGTATTAATATGAATAATAATTTGTAAAATGTAAAATCCTATTAAGTCCAAAAGTATTCCCAGTCTCAATATGTTATTATTAATTTCTATGATACACATTATCTTTGTAAATTATTGATTATTTGATACAATTGAGGAATATCAAATAATTATCAAATACATTACAGGTACTTCAACTAAGAATCCTGTGAATATTCCATTTAATAGTTAATTAGCATATTTACCGAACTATGTGATAAAAAGAAATGTGAAAAACAACGAATAAGTACTCTAACAAAATAACGATTAAATTTATATATTGTGGTTACTTTATATTGATTTGAAAATTTTTCATAAATAAAAATCTTTTTTCTCTTTGAGAATGGGCGCATATAAGTATTTACAAGAGCTCTGGAAAAAGAAGCAATCAGATGTGTTGAGCTTCATCATGAGAATCAGAACATGGGAATATAGACAATTACCAGTCATTCACAGAGCAACCAGACCAAGCAGACCAGATAAAGCCAGAAGATTAGGGTACAAGGCCAAGCAAGGTAAAAGAGACAATGATGATGTTAGGCTATGTGATTTACAGAGTGAGAGTTAGAAGAGGAGGCAGAAAATTGTTGATCAGAAAGGGACTCGTCAAGGGCAAGCCCAAGAGTCAAGGAGTCAATTAATTAAAGCCCACCAGAAACCTTAGATCAGTTGCTGAGGAGAGAGTAGGCAGAAAGATTGGAGCACTTAGAGTTTTGAACTCTTATTGGGTTGCCCAAGATGGAACATACAAATATTATGAAGTCATCACCGTTGATCCATTCCACCCAGCAATCAGAGGAGACTCAAGAATCAACTGGATCACCAAACCAGTTCACAAGCATAGAGAATTGAGAGGTTTGAATGAAAATGAATATGAAAGGTTTAACATCGGCTGGCAGAAAGAGCAGAGGACTCAGAGTTAAGGGTCATCGTAACAATCAAACTAGACCTTCAAGAAGGGCCAATTATGCCAGAAGAAATAGAATTTCCCTCAGAAGATTTAGATGATGTTTTTTATTATGCATATACTCAAGTACAAATTAACAATAACAACACCACATAAAATAATTTATTTATGAACGAGATTGCCTATCCCCAGACCCAATTCCAAAGATACTCATCTCGCCAAATTAACAAGGTTACTTACTACTGTCAATCTCTGAATGCGCCTGACAAGGATGTTTCCGAAAAGAAAAACCAAATATATAAATGGTAAGTGAGACACATTAATCAAGGTTGAGAAATTTGCCAACCCAACAATTGGAGCAAGTATTATCCTTCACCTCTTATTACAGAGTTCACTCCTTTCTGAAGATGTTTAAGCAGGATTAAAATTTGCTTCATGAATATTTCGAATTAGCTTAATCCCCATATGAGGTTAATGTAAAAATCAAATTACATCAATACTATTATGTGAGAGAGTGCAATAGAATAGATATGAATGCGCAATGGAGATCTGCCTAATAAGTATTATTTGCACTTAAACCATAGTATATTCTTGATCACACCTACATCTCAGATTATGAATGGTTATTTGACACTATTACAATTAAAGGCAATGTTGAGGAGATTATTTAATCGTTTGAAATTCTATCCAAATAATAAATATTCACAAAAAGTTGGAGAATCGAGACCAATGAGGACGAGGAATACTCAGAAATTAATTTTGATTCATAATAAAATCAAAAAATGTTCTGGACCCTATCAGAACACATTGTAAACGAAATTGAAAAGGCCATCTTAATTAAGTAACATATTGTAAATACAACTTAAGATTCTAATAATTTGAACAGAAATGCACTTATACTAAATAGGATTAATTATTTAACTTTCATTAAATTGAATTAAATTTCAATAATATCAATTATGAGGGTGAAACTCAAGAATTTTAGAAGGTTTTGGAACTCTCTTAAGGGGAAATGTAGTTTATAGATGAAAAAGTGCTTTTATAAAGTTGGCTTTAGCATATTAAATGTGAAAGTTTAAGTATGAACAATGCTGAGAAGGAAATCCAACATTTCCTATAGGAGAAGGATCTAATCTTTTAATCTCCTCTTAAATACATAAGTAAATATGAAATTCAATGTTATAGTTACCGAATCCTTATTGTTCTGCAAATATCTGATTTGTAAGTAATTAAAAAATTAATTTCCATTAAAAAAACCAGTTGAGGAGAATCTGAAAGAAAAAAAAAAGCCAAAATAAAAGCTTTCTGATTTGAAACTATTCCAAAATCCAGTTACAACTCCAGTTGAAGATTAATCATTGAAATAAGTCGTTTCATATTTTTCAAATTCTGGAAAATCAAAAATATTACCAGAAACAGAATAAAGACTATTTAGTACCAATTTAGAAGAAAAAGAGTAGCAAATATATGAGCATTCGACAGGTTTTATGAAGAAATTGATTGAAACTGTTTTGATAGAACTTGAGAATTTTAAATAATATAAAAAGAAACTTAAAAAAGTCAAAAATACTAAAAAATAGTAAGTAATTGAAGTTGTGTAGCCAGAACCTTCAGTATAATAAGAATCTTAAAATGCTATAAAAGATGATGAATGGAATGATAAACCCAAGTCTAAAAAGTAGAGAAAAAAGTAGCTTGAAAAATAAAGAAAAAAAGAGTAAAATTATTCAATTGATATTTCTAGAAATTTAGAGAGGAAGAAACTCAAATAAATGAACCAATCTCAATAGCATAGCGTATAAGATGATGAAAAAATAGAGAAATCATCTAAATCTTCGATTAAGGATGATAATGAGGACATCGAGAATCAAAATGAGAATGATTCTTAACATAATAATAATGAGGAACTAATAGTTGAAGAATAGTAAAAGAATGAGATCATCGAAAAAGTTACTCAAGAAATTCCTATCATCACTAATTCTGTGCCAGATGATGAAAGTGATTACATTGAAGTATAGAATAAAAAGCAATAGAAAAAATAAAGTAAGTCAAAATCATCCAGACACAAGAAACAATCCAACAAGAAAGACAAGGAATTTTAAGACAATTAATCTTTACCTGATGAGTAGTAGTACATTCCATTGTTAAAGAAATCTACCTCATAATCAGTTCAAAAGAATAATCATCATCAGTATGATGAACTTAAATTAGAAAGGATGCCATCTCAATAGCAAAACAGAATAACACTATAAAAAAAGGAAAATGGGATGAATAAAATACAAAGATCAGGTTTAGTTAAGTCGAAAGCTCAGTAAAAAGAGTAGAAACTGTATACATATGATTTAGATCAAGCCCATTTATAAAAGATCTATAAAACAATATTGGAATAAAAGATTACGAATGATGTCAAATAAATATATCAGAAAGAAATTGATTAATTTAATAGGTATAAAGCAGCAAGAGACATTTCAATACAAAGGGTCTAACATGTTATTAAATCATATTTTAAGAATTGTGACACTTAAATCTTTGGATCCTCTACAACTGGATTAGCTTTAAAGGATAGTGATGTTGATATGGTTGTTTATGGTCTCCAAGTATTCACAAAATAATAATTGTTCGAACCTATGAGAAGATTGATTGAGATTTTCACTGAATTAAAGTGGGCTGTGTAATGCAAGTACAATAAAATTGCTATAAATTAGACATATATTTTAAGCTTCAGTGCCACTCATAAAGGTCTTAGTAGATCCTTCCATAGACTTTCTTTCATTCAAAGGAGAACCAAAATACATCATCATGCAGTGCAGGAATCTTGATCTCAATTTAAAATATGGAGATCCAAGTAATTTTGAGTTTGACTTTAGGTTAACATATCTTCATTGATATCACATTTGAATTGGCTCCGTCTTACGCAATATATAATCCATATATCTAAGCATTCAATATTGGATTTCAATCAACCTAGTTCACAATTGACATATGTGGAAAAATCCAAGGATTTTCAGAGGTCGCAATATATCTAAAGAAGTTGCTCAAGATTAAGGATTTGAATGATTCATATACTGGTGGTATTAGTTCATTTTGTTTAACTATAATGTTGGCAGCCATTGGATAAGATCACAATATTGGTTAGAAATTGATAAATTTCTTACATAAATACGGATGTAATTTTGATCCAAACAAGTGGGCTATCTATTTGGATGAAAAAGAATAAAATAATTTTTACAATATTGAAGATGAATAATCAAATCAACCACTTACTATTATTTCACCAATCAATTTACAAAAGATTCAGATCAATGTTACTAAGATACAAACTATATTATAGTTATTTCAGCAATTGTATGTTGAAATAATGTAGAATATTGATTAGATAGAGTCTTGCTTGCAGAAAAGGATCAATCAGAAAGAACTATTAGAGAATTACAATAGTCACTAAATATCAAAATTAGTTGACCTTGTCTCTTGGCAATGTTCTAATCTACTTGAAAGCCACATTTAATGATTTTATTATTAATATCTATCTGTTTATAAATGATAAATAAATTTTCATCATTAAGCTTTAACTAATTAAATTAAAAACCTTTTCTACTAGAAGTCTTCCTTTCTCCTTTCGAGTTCTTTGATGAATGGTAACATCGGTGCCTTGCTTTTGATTGAATTAAAGGCTATAACTATATTCTCTATATTTATGTTGATGAACAGGTTGATCAGACTTTCAAATTTTTACCTCTTAATGCATTCCTTTTATTAATAACTAAAAGAATTGGAATTGACTTCCTTTTTCTTTGGAGTTAGACACGTGAATTGTGAAACACTTCTATTGAGAACAGGGGCTCCGTTGATATAATTGGCTGATTTCTGGCTATTATTCTAAATTCTTTTTTTTTGAGTGCATTCCTAAGAGGACTTTAATACAAAATTCTTTGATTTTTCTTAGGTTTATAGATTTTCAATGCTTTGTCTTCTGATTCTGACGTATAAATCTTAGTCTTTCAGAAAATCAGGTTGATGCTTAATTATGGTTTGTTGCCTATTAATTTATTATTTTAATAATGGAGTTAGACTGCCTCAAATTATTAATAATTCTATACTTTTCCTCAGACTTAATAATTCTTATAATTTTGCTTAATAAATTTTGCTTTTTTCCATTTATTTCTAATTGAGAATGTTTTCGTCTTAGACACTATCCTGATGAATGGTTTTCTATTTTTTTGGTTTAAGTTCTGGAGATAAATTCATTTTAACAGTGGCTAAAGACTTAGATTCAGCTTGACTAGGTTAAATCAGTCGGGCTCTTCTCAATCTAGTGAGGTCATTGTTGCCAACCATATAGTTAGAGTTTTTCAGTCTCAAATTCATAATTAAAAAATAACGATTACATTCAAATAAAATAAAATAAATAAACATAAAAATTGTATAAAGAGTTATATATATAGAATATCATTATATTCTAATATATTATTGTTGATAAAGAACTTCTTTCTTGTTGTGGAGTGAAACAGAATAAGGTATTTTGATTTAATGAAAACTTACTTTTTTAATTACATTTTGTGATTCTTATAAACCACTTTTTCTTCGCCTTCCATCTTCACTATGGCATAATTTACTCTTGAGGATGCTTTTGGGTTAAGGGTTTTGTTTAGTAAATTTAACTGTATTAGTTTTGCTTCTGAATAGTCTTAAAGGCAATTTGCAAAGTTTCTCCTTGTTCTCCAATTACACAAGACTCAACTTTTCCTATAAAGGTACTTAGTTGGTATTAACCAATTAAGTTACGTAAATTTATCTTTATGAATACCTAGTAATTTTAATGGGGGATACGTCTAAAGTACAACTGTTATATGTTTAAGTGAATTATCTTTTGTCTTATCTTATTACAGATTGTTTCCATAATGGTTGAATAATTTGAGTTCGCATTCTAATTGCATTTTATTCTTAATTTATTGGTGTCTGAGAATTGCCTATATGTTCTACTGAACCTAAAGGACTTTGGAGAGTGTTGTTCATTCTATTTGGTTTGCGAATATTTCTCTATCCTTATACAGGTAGAAAGTGTGACTCCACTTTGGATTTATTTGATTCATCATCTAAATTTAGCTAAGTGCATTAAATTAGTTTTTTATAGGTGAAATTCAGGGAACTTTAAGGACTAACTTGATTGGACTAGAGGAATCGAAATCCTTATGAATTAGATCTAATCTATTTCACTCTTGCCACGACTGATGTATAAGTTTCGGTTTAAAATGTATCATATTCTTCTTTCTTAAACTTTGGTACTATAATTCTGCAATCCAACTTCAAAGAATCGTCATCACTGACTATTGCATCTGAATTATCCAAGATTTCCATTATTAATTCTTATGATAAGGTTTGATTAAAATGAAAATAATAATAAGTCATTGTTATAATAAAAACATTAATGTATCATCACAAAAATTGATGCTTCTAAGAATAAATTGGATGTAGCTAATAGAAATAACTCATTTCTGTTCTACTTATTAAGAAAATGAAATCATAATTTGGAGAATGCTTGAGAATCCTAATCTTAACTTGATAAACGTATTTATTAACTCATTTCACATTTAAAATTCTTAATTGAGATTGAGTGAATTTAGTTGATAGTTTTTTTAAGATAGATGTCAGAACTGATATTTAAATTCGTTTTTCAACTATTTCAAATAAAATACTATAGACTTTCGGAAAATATCTTACACCTACTCAAATATCCATGCAACTTTAACTCGTATTCTAAAGAGCTAATTGAATCCTATTAAATCGCTACTTTAATTCTAATCTATAGGCTAAAGCATTTTAGAATATCATTTATAAATATGTAATTATCTTTCAATCAATTTCGTCATAAACATCGTAATATTGATTAAAGTATTAATACTCCCTACATTTTTGGTTTAATCATTGCAAAGATGATTTAGATATATTTATAAACTCTAAAACTCTTTATGATTTTTAGATGCTTAATATATGAATTCTCAATTCTTCTAATAATAATTGAATGTTGTATATAAAAAGAAATTATTAAATAAATTAAAAAAAAGATTTAAAATGGTAATGAGTTTCGCTTATGTTTATCTTAGGGAGCACACAAATCATTGAGAATGAAGAAGAGATTGATCAAAGCAAACAAGCAAAATAGACCTCTTCCAAATTGGTTTAGATATAGAACAGATAACACAATCAGGTAATGATTGAATTTTAGTCCCATTCTAGATATAATTCAAAACGTAGACACTGGAGAAGAACTAAGCTTAACATCAATTGATTTGTTTACGATTATAATACCGTACATTTATTAATAAATCTAAAGTAATATGCCACATTCACAATTTATTTAATTATTAAAATAAATTCCGTTCATTATTTTTTTAACTATTCCTTCAAATGTTTTACTCTTTTGTACATGATTTCGATCTAATTCTTCATGTCTGGGATATCAGATTGTCTAACATCTCTGCTGATGCATCTTTGGATATTTAAACATCCTTTTTGATCGTCAATGGATCCAATAATCAAATCCCTTTGAATAAGATCAATTAATAATGATTCGATGTCGGCTCGTGAATTTAAATAGCAGGCTTTTTGAATTTGATCAAAAGTCACGCACTTACTTCTACATTATAATTATTGATTATTACCTTTAGCACAGTTGTAGGATGGTAAGGATTATCATTTTCTTTTATTGATTGTCATTCCTATATTTAATCTACGGATTGCAAACTCCATAGGCGAATCTATCGAAGAGTATTTTGTCTTCTTCAGTCTAATAGAATGGATGATGCGAATACCTTGACAAGATGCATATACTTTGTAAATTAGTATGTTTAATCATCCTCTATATAATCTATTAATGACATTTTAGGTTTATTAAATTATTAATAAAATTTATAAAAATGAAAAGAAAGCAAACAATAAATGTTGATTACCAAGACATGATTCAACAAGCAAAGAGCATGTTTAATTTGAGTTAAGACGAAATAAATGAGATTATCGTGGAAGTGAAAAAATTTGATACCAAAGGGACTGGATATGTAGGCAAACATGAAGTGGATGACGTTCTAAGAGGTAGTTACATTTTTAATAATTAAGATCTTAAACTGTTAGACAATGAAAAGTTGATAGCCAAGTTTAATGAGGAATTAAAAATAATGAATGCGAAGTTTCTTGACTTTAAGCAGGTTTGTGATTTGTATTGTAAATTAAAACAATACTAGTAATAATTAAACGAAGAAGAAACCATCACTCAAGAATACAGTAATGTTATATGTTAATGTGTAGTTGATGCATTCTGTGCCTTGGGGGGTCAACTTGATAAATCAGGATTTGTATTAAAATCTACAATTATTGAAACGATAAAAAGGGAATTTGAACTAAATTTAGAATTGGATTCAATCTTAGGTGATTTTCATGGAACCTAATTGGATTTCGATGAGTTTTGTTAGTTGTTTGAGAATGCTGGAGATGATGGTAAATCATTTATTACTGTATCAATTTGATCTAGCAATAGAGTGTGTCTTTATCAAAAAGAAATCAGAATGATTTTGTTGTAAGATACAAGGACTTCGAAAAATGGGAAAAATTAGTTAATTGAATTGAAAATTCATTTTATATTTCTTATAGAATAGAAATATATATATAAATCCTTATAAAAATATATGTTAATATATAATTCAGTTAAAAATAATCCACTAAATGGGAAATAGTGCAGCAAAATTAAATAGAAAATTTGAAGATTGGATCTCGAAGGCACACAATTTTATATTCAAAGCATCCAAAGACAATGATCCTCAATTAGTTATTGAACACAATGGCCAAGACCATCCTGTAGATCAAAACATTGAATAGCATTAAAATGAAGGAGATCAGAAATAAGAAGTACAGAGAATTGATGATAACCTCAATGAAAATGATAATGAGTCTATGATTCTTACATCATCAATCAAAGATGAATCGAATTCAGACAAAAGAAAAGCTTCATATTAATTAATCTCGGAAGGGGAATCTAAAAGGGTATGTGTTGATTAAGACTACATAACCATTCATGAATGACATATAATATTGATCATTGTTGAAAAGTGATTCATAATTTCCCAGAAACTACCTTTGTTAATTGTCCATACTCCCAAATTCCTAAAAAGTCTCCGTGATTTGTTCTCCTTATCAAACCTTCTCCATTCGGGAGATCCTTGTCGAATTAACCGATATACTCGCTGTTGTTAGTCAAATACCAAGTACCTTAGCCGCATTTTCTACATTTATGAATATTAATTACTGTCCATTTTAAAATTCTCCCTCGTATTTCTTCCAATAGCCTTTAATCTGCACTTCTCTTAGTAGTGAGTAATTAATCTAATGTTCAGTCACTGGATTTTCATTATTTAGTATTCCATAGCCATGATATTAATCATTCTCAAAATGTCCCTAGTATTAAAGCTTCCCATTCTTGAAATACAATATCCCATTTCCATTTTTTAAACCTTGATTCGCACTTCCATCTTATTTAATCTAGCCATTATTATCATCATAGTTTAAATGCGATACATTTTCTTATTTAATGTCTGAGAGAACATTGTGAGTTTAAGTATCCCCAAATGCTTAAGTGTCGAATTATTAACTTCTCTTTGTATCCAATTTGCTTATACCCTCAAATTGCTCATTATATGAAGGATTATGATTTTAAAATTATTGCAGTGGTTAGTTCTTAGATAACAACTTGCCTTTCTGCCAGACTCCTGAAAACTTTATTTAATTATTGAGTTCAAATATCCCGTGACCATCTATCAAATCATTAGCAAATGTTCCTATGAAAATTTCTCCATTAGTTAAAAATAACTTGCCTTACCCCTGCTTCCTAAATTATTTATTTTAAAAATAATACTTTCCGAATTGAAGTGATCCTTCATACTTCGATGCATATTGATCTATATTAGTGCAATCCTGATAATCGAAATTCTCTTTCTACTTTTGAGAGTTTTAGTTATTCAATTTTCCTGTATTATGAAAGTCTCCTTAATAAAAATCTCCATCCTACCCAAGCGAATTTTACTAAGTAGAAGATTTGCCTACATCATTATAGTATTATAATTACCCCTCCCATGATATTTTTATTCATTTTTATAGCTTATTTAATGAAGATCCTCCACTACTTAATTCACTTAAGGCAGCTATGCTTTACTAGCATTGACTTGATGATAATCAAATTTACTATTGCTTGGCTATTAAATATTGGAAACTGCATCAATAATATGATGCTCATCGATTTATTAACTAGGAGGTTTGAAAAGATTAGATTTCGTATATATAACTTCATCTATTGGTTAAACTAAAGGATCTTTAAACTCAGACTCAATTTTTGAATCTTTTGAGGTCAACTTAGTATACAACTGATGATAATTAGGTCTTCTGACTATGTCTAAATCCAACATTTCCATTATTAATTCAATAAATTTGCCTGAAAATTTTGCTTTATAAGTCTTGAGTTCTTCTATCCTTTTAGTAAGCAGAACTTCGTTGATCTAAAATTTTGAATATATGTCTTTGCTTTTCATTCCTATACCATATATATAAATAATACTTATGATCAATTCCAAAATTAGCATTCCCAACCCAAAGATTTAAACTCTATCAGGGTCGCAATTTTTCTAATGAAATTCTTCTGGTGAGGGGAAGCCTGACAAGTCAAAATTCTGTAAATTTTTAGATCTATATTCTTGTATTTCTTAATAGAATGATTTTGTCTGAACAAACGGTTTGATCTTCCAAGATTTACCATCATTAGTATGAATGTTATCAAAACCAAGATATTGCTTCTTCGATCCAAGCAAGTATTATGCATTTACCACACAAGTTAAAAGATCTGTGATTTATTTAGAATCTAAACATTGATCCTTGGCTTTTTTTAATAAAAATTCTCTTAGAGTATATAAAGGATGTTCTGTTAAAATGCTCAAGATATAGTACTTTGAAAATAGTTTGTCAACAGAGGTTAACATAATGTTTTCAATTTTCGCTATCCCTTTTGAATCCCTATCTTTAATTTCTTACGCTATTTTATTTTCCTCTTCAAAAGAGCTTTCATTTGATTTTATTGCCCAGAAATCGTATTTATTGTTCTCAGGGCTCTCAAACACTTTATAAACCCCTTTATCAGAAATCAGTTTCATTTTTTTTAACTCTGGAAGGTTTTCCCCTTCTACGCTTTGAATATTACCCATATTATTATTAATAATTAATAATAAAAGTGTATAGATATTTACGAATCACCTTTAGATAATTATTCATTAGAGAAATCATTAGGAGATAGTGCAACTCGTCAAGTGAAAATTGCCATTCATTTTTAAAGTAGTGGAAAATATTTTTCAGGTTTCATAAAATTGTGAGGGCTTTTAAAAAATTCAAAGAAAGCACAATTTAAGGATGAGTTTCATGTGAATGTCATTGCAAAAGAAATAAAAATGCTTGAAAAATAAGGCATCTATACATAAATTCAATTTATGAAATAGTAGATAAAAATAAAGAAATATGTCTAATCATCAAATATGAGAATTAATTTATTAATTTTTTACATAGTTCATTATCATAAAGTTTAAGAGGACCTACTCTGTAAGTATGTATTAAAATCTTATCAGAAGGTTAGTATAGAAAAAAAGTTGGAATAAAACATTTTGATTTGAAACTTGAAAATCTCATATTCCACTAATAATAGAATAAAAATATATTAATTATAAAGAAGATATACATGAAAATATATAGAATTTCAAATTTTTTATTTAAAGGAGGATAAAATATTTAGTTATTTTAGGAAATTTAATATCTTCACCAGGGTTAGTGTGTCCAATAGGTCATTTCATTTTTAGAAACATGTAATTACTTCTCAAAATCAAGGGAAAAATAATTACAGAAATTTAGAAAAATCTACTTATCTATACTAAGGAAATAATATTGCATAAATGGTTAAAAAGTGATGGAAACGATTTTTAAAAATGTTTAATACAGATCCAAGTGAAAATTTCACAATTCTTCAAATAATATTACAGTCATGGATGGACAAATAAAATTATCTATTAGGGAATAATAATATAATGGCTAATGTAAATCATAGTAGAACAATTAAAACATCATATGGAGTGGAAGCAATCTAATACTAGGAAAAATACATACATGACATAACATAATACCGCATTGCAAGACCTTAATCATAAACATTTATTCCACTTTAATTGAATGTTATTAATCAAATTGTTAATAAGTTCGATATCAAGTGGTCAAACAAATGGAAATACTCCAATTTCTACAAATAACGAATAAACCAAAATTAACATATTCTAATATCCCACAAATAGTAGTTTAAAGAAAGAGATTGTATTACATCTGATATATCTAAATATAAATCTTAAGTTCAACCAAAAATAAATTTAATTAAGAACACATAGATGGGTATTTAATTTATAAATGCCCTTTAATCAAAAATCAAGATATAATTGCTTGTAGATTTAATAAAAATCCATCAAATAATTGTAAATCATAATATTATATGTATTTAATATAAATATTTTCTAGCTAATGATCTTTTTGATTTACTACGCCAATTTTAATGTCAACATTATATTTGAAATTTCTATAGTTAGATTTACAATTATAATAATTAATATTTATTGTAAGGTCATCAATTAAGTGGAGATTGTAATTCACATTAGGATACTCTAAACAAACTTTGCATGTATGAATTTTCACTATCCTTTCTATTAGACAAAATAAAAATTAATAAAAATAATATAAAAGTTGCGAAAAAGTCACTTTTTATATAAATTTATATATCAATTGCTTCCAAAGAGACTTTGTTCCATGATGAAATTGAATAATCTTAAAAATATAGTCTTTAATCTCAATCGAAACCCATATTCAAACATAAAAAAAACCTTTAAACTTGAAGTATCTATAAATGTTAACACCAGTTATAAATGTTAACACCAGTTCTTGTTATACCAATCTGAAAGTGATAAAATTGCTTAAAATCCATTTTGGTATGAAAAGAGTTCAACCATGGATTATTTATTGATGATATGAAATATATTTTAGTTCTTTTTATAAGAAATAATAATATGATCTAATTTAATTCAAGTACTCTGATAGGACCTAAATCTATCTTTCTGTAACCTTTAGAAATTTACTAAAATCATGATATTGATGACACTTAATGTGCAGATGACTTTACAAATAAATACTTATCATAAACCAATAACTCTATATAAGAAACTCCGCAAAATAAGATTGAAGGAGGCAATAAAAAAAAAGAGGGCAAGAAAAAGGTTAAGTTTAATCTAAACATCGTTCATTGTTAATTTAATCAAAAAGAACCTGCAATTGCTATTGGAAAACTAGTTTAAAAGTTGATAAATTAGAAACCTTATTTAGATTGGGTAAATCCATAGATATAAAAAAACTAATGATTCTAAAATTCATATTTATACTTTTCTTTAACAATTCTTAATCAATAAACTAGTATCTCATATTAAGAAATAAGAATAATTTGATTACTTTTCCAAATTATTATGCCGTTTTTAATGACTTCGCAAAAAAAAGGAAGCTTTAATTAGATTGCCAACTCTTCTTTTAAGACACAATATAAATTAAACCATTCTAAAAATAAATATTTCTTATAAAATCTTTATCAATAAGAGTATTCAAATTTGAAGTTTAACAATTTTTAATATTTTGTTATGATAATAACTCTGAAATAATATCAAAATTTATAGAATAATAAGAGACTTCAGATATTATATAGAGATTAATTTATTTAGAAACTTATTTCACATGAACTAATTTACTGGACAATAAATCTAACTGAGAGCATTATTGCACATCTAAATATATTTTAACAGATTCATTTATATATTCAACATTAGCATTGTTAACCTTATTTTGCCTATTCTGTGCTTTTATTTGACCATAAATTGACATTTTTAATTTCATCATCCTATTTCCCATCACCATATTGTTGACCATCATCTGTTCTCTAAGAAGATGATGATGATTACTACATATTTAATAATAAAACAATACTTTTTATAGTTTTCTTTTATTCTTCTTCTCCTAAACCTATTAATCTCTTTTCGCCATCAATTTAATTGCAATTTTCTTGAAAGCTTCTTCAACTCCATCAGCAGTTTTAGCACTGGTTTCAAAGAACATCATATTTCTTTTCTATGCATACTCTTGCACTCTCTCACTTTAAACTTATTTTGTGCTAAGATCTGACTTGTTTCCCAACAATAAGAGTTCAGCATTCTTTTCAGCATAACTCTCTACTTCATTCAACCAAAACTTTTCAATATCATCAAAGGATTGTTAGCAAGTTGTGTCATAGACAATAACAATTCTAAAATTTATTTATATATTAGTTACGCATCAGCCCCTTTATAATAGGCATTTGTAATTGTCCTGAATCTTTCCTATCCAGCAGTATCCCAAATTTACAACTTTAAGCCTTTATTATCTACTTTCAATGTTTTGAATCTAAAATCAACTCCTATTGTTGTTATGTAATTTTCGCTAAAAGTGTCATCAGCAAATCTTAATAAAAGAGCAGACTTCCCAACTCCACTGTTCCCTATTATAACTAATTTAAACAAATAATCATATTCTCTGTTTGCCATTTTGAACTTATTTAATATAATAATATATCAGAATATTTCAATTTGAATTTTATGCATTTCAAATACTATTATAAAATACTAATAATAAGATCACATGAAAAAAACAAAAATGTTTTCCATAACAAAGATTGTTCTATTTAATAATTAAGAAAGCATTATTGAGATTAAATATTAGTCATATGAATCAATCCTATTAATGTAAATCTTCTCTCTTTATTTTTTCTTCCTCTATTAACTAATCAATTTCATTTTTTTCAAACCATTTCATTCTTTTTCCTTCATTCCATTCACCCACTTTAACTTCTCTGTTTTATAAATAATAAATTCCGATGCCATGTTATCTTCCTAAAACAATTGAACAATATTCTTACCTTGTATCCAAGTGCCTATGTATTTTCTACCATCAGCCCATTCAAAAACTCCTTTACCATGCTTTTTATCTTCTTCATATTCCTAAAATAGACCAAATCATTACTCCAGTGTATTTACGTCCATCCTGCCAAATAATCTGTCCTTTGCCATGCATCTTATTCTTTTTCCATGACCCTTTGTAAATTCTTTTGTCTGGCCAAATATATGTTCCTTCTCCATGTATATCATTTTACAGGAATTCACCTTGAAAAATAGATTTATCCTTTACCATCATATCGTGAACCATCAGCAAAATTCAAAATACCCTTTCCATGCTTCTTCCCTTCAAAATATTGACCTTCATATTTGGCTCCATCTGGCCAATTTTCCACTCCTTTACCATGCTACTTATCATTTTCCCACTAGAAATAGAATTTTACTCTTACTTCTCCTTCATATTTGGCTCCATTTACATGAATATATGTTCCTTTACCATTAGCTTTATCATTTTTCCATTCTCCATCGTAAACATCTCCATCTGCATGTGTTAATTTACCCTAATTTTTATAGTTTATTAATACTCTTCCTGAGGACTTATCTTCCACCCATTCTCCCTCATAAACTGAACCATCTGGCCATTTTTATTTTCCATATCCATCTCTCATTCCATTTTTCCACTCTCCTTCATATACAGCTCCTGACTCTAGTTATATTGGGGGTAACCTCTTTCTTTCAGTGCTGTTCATTGTACTTTTAATCAGATCATTTCCTTCTTGATTGCTTGCTACGTTCATGCTAACTGAATGGTTGGCAGAAATATTTAATTATTTATCCAATTCTTATGATTTTTTAGAATTCTCATCAGCATTTTTAGGAGGTGCTTCCTTTGCAGATTCTCTTTTTTGTTCCTTTTTTTATTCTTTCTTTTATTTTTATTATTCTTAATCAATCGTAAATCTTTCATGTTCTTTTACTTAAACCTTAACTTCCTCTTTTTTTTGCTCATTTTCTTAATTATCAGGCTTAGGCTTAGTTTTCTCCTTTGGTAATCTAATTTCTGTATTATCATTGTCTTTGTTTGCACAGCACGATTAACAATTCGCCCCCATAATATAATTTTGTTATGTTAAATAATATTTATATTTAACAAGTTTTTTAATTAACAGTCAAAAAGCGTAGTACTGATATTTTATGGGAACTACCATTTGAGATCTTAAAAACATAATGAAAATGTTTGGAATAATATATTAAAGGAAATTAAATTAAAATAATTGTAACTTTACAAAATAATACTATTAAGTATCGATTTTCAAATAAATTAAATTATATTAATCATAAAAACTAGACTGAATGTCCCCCTAGCAATCCTCTTTATTAAATTTGACCGCAAACCTAAATTAGCTATTTAAGGCATATTTCTAATGCTGATTCATCTTCATATCCCATTTCGACTTAAATAATTTGATTCCATAATTACTTAACAAACTTCTATTGATATAATCACAAACCCTTTCTCTTTACTGCTGACTGATGAGTCCTTTCAAAGCACTAGTTCCAATGTCATCATAAATTATCAAACCAAAAATTTGTTCGATTTTCAGTTTGATAGGATTTAGATTCTCGTCTACACATTCTACTTGAAAATGTAAATGTTGACTCAAATGAATTTATCCCAAATTTATAGCCTCTTAGACTTTGTCCTTTTTCACTAATCATAGGTAGGATAGAGTACATAATTCAATAAAGTATTAGGCATACAAGGTCAGTTGGACTCCCTCCTTTTATAAAAAGCCTGGCATCATTTCGCTGAGGATATCAAGGACATCAGCAATCTTACCTTCTCGAATGAGTTATTGTATTTCTTATTTAAACAAAAAAATTACTTATTCTTTCTTAATTAACTAATTGATCCTTCAAGAATGCTTATTCTGCTATTTAATTAAGTTCATTGTTGTTGTCCTACTCATCTAAATAGAAGCCACTGACTTTTCTTTCGATTGATGAAATCTATTAAAAGTTCGGACTCTACAATCCACTTAATTTTCTTTGTAAAGCAGACATTGGAGTCATTTGTAGACTCTATTTTCGTTTTAAATCCCCATCACATTGCTATTCTTCTTCATAATTCATTTCTTCTGGTTTTTTCTCTAGTCTCATATTTTCGTTTTCCTGCAGAGAACTTTCTCTTTCAAATTATTTCAAAGAATTCAAGTATCCTTAACTCCATAAATACTCTTAAATGATGAGATGAAGACTGTAAGGAGAAACATCTTATTTATCGATCTCTTAAATGATTTCATGCTTTTCCTTCTACAACATTTTCTGATAATCAAATATCATTGAGGTCGCTCCTAAGTTGAATCGAAAACAGGCAACATCTCCACAGACTACTGTTGGGTATAATGGTTCTTTAAAATCAACCTTGACTGTTTACAAGCTTCGAATTCCGTTGTGTGTGAAAAAGACTTCAGATTTATGAATACCACAGCCTATAATGTCATCTTGTTTATATTGATTCAATTTCAAATCAATTTCTTGCTTTTTCATTATTACTTTTCCATCACAGTAGTACCCTATACTACCACCAATAATACCCAAAGGCTTGTTTGTTGGATAATTGTCAATAGCAAGCCCTATGGAAATAATACTATTTTTATTTATTACTATTACTTCTTAGTGTTTTCTTTTTTTAAGATTTTAACTTCGAAGTAATAAAAAGAGGATGTAATAGCTTGGTCTGTTTACAAGCACGCATATTCATGTGTTTCTGGGTTTGCTTAGTATTTGACAGTGAGTCCATCATTTTCATATACAATATTCTAATGCTTTCTTGGCTTCAGTTTTGCATTGGCTAGAATGCTATTATCTTGTATTTTCAACAAGCCATTAATGTAGGGCTCTACTTGCATTATTTTTTAATTTAAATTAATGAAAATATTACAGATTATCTAGAATAATAATAATACAAATTGTGTATAATATACTTATCATTGGAATTGATGTATTTTCAGAGTGTTAAATATTTAGTTCCCAAATAGCCTTGTACGATCTGGATCAAGAATAGAATCAGCTTAATTGATGCAAAGAAGTAATATTCTGAACCTAAATTTTAGATTGCTATTATTGCAAATTCTATTATGGCAAACAAGGACAAAATCATATCATTAATTGTGGAACAGAAATTAAAGATTAAAAAATTCTTGCCGAAGTACTTCTTTTGAGGATTCAACAACTACTCATTAAAATAATATTCTTACCCAAATCACCAATACTAATTCAGTTATGAGTTAAGAGAAGGGAAACAAGGATATTTGCATTATGGTTTCAATGATTTACAAATTATAGATGTATTTTTCCTCTAAAATCGTACTATCTAAAACATCAACTATCAATTCTAATAAATAGATCACAAAAAGTGGAATTTAAATTATGCACAGAATAACCAAAGCCGAAGTCAACATTCTCTCATTTGTGAAATCTCGATATCTTAAAAAGTACGCGAATGTTATTGTGATAGCTCGTTTAACTCTAAGCCACCACATATTACACATATTTGTTTTTTATAAATTATTATCTTCCTCTTCCTCCAAGTCAAACTTTTAAGTTATTAAGGGTGTGAGTATTCCATCAGCTTCTATTTTTCTTTACATTTACATTTTGAGATTGTTCAATTCTTCCTTGTCTTCCTCATATCTTTGATATGTTGTTATCTATTTATTGATATCATTGATTGTGTTAATTATGATTTGATTATCGTAATATCTCTTGACATTAAAATCTTACTTTTCAAAGTTGACTGACACCTTGATCTAGTATTCTGATTTGTAATTCACAATATAGTGAAGTTCCCTTAAGGTTTATTGGAAATCAAGAAGCTTCTATGTAGTCAATATAATCAAGGAGGATTGTTGAATTCCTAAAATGTGAAAGCATATATCCAATAAAATTTGTTTTTTGTTGAAAATCTCACTATTGCTTTCATCTATAAATTCAAATAAAGAAAAACAATTTTTAATGAATTCTGCATTCCCCTTTCTTGTATCTATTTGCAACATTAATAAGTTGAATTTTGTTATGAAATCATCGAATGTATGTATCTCCTCTTCCTCATTTTCAGATAATAATTCATCTGACTCTTCATCATCTATTGGCATAAAGATCTTCTATTTCTCAAATGACATCTTCATGGATTTTACTAGAGGATCTTTTAAATTGATTTACCAAGGGAATAAGAAATCTCCATCACCTTACAAAACCAAAGAGATTGGAAATTGAGTTGATTTATTCCAATCCAATATGTTATTATTATAATTTAAGACATCAATATATGCTAAAGTGTAATCTGAACTATAGGATATTTTGAGACAATAAATTTAAAATTTATTATTTTTTTGCATAAAGGCTAAGATCTATTAGGATTTCTTCTTTTAATAGTACTTTAACATTATAAAGTAAAATGGAAAATACCAAACTTTTAATAGCAATAACGAAACTTATTAAAAGTTTGAATATTTCCCAATAGCGTTGATATTCTCAATTACTATATTGATATAATATTAATCTAATTGAGTATGAGGAGGTAGATGCCAAGGAGTACTTGGAGTGTTATTCCCTTAAACATAAAGTCTTTTAACATAGTAAGGAAGATCTTCAGGCAAGAACTGGGGATCTTCAGATGCTGCTTCATACAAATTGGGATTCTCTTGGATCTCTGTTAATGATATTATAGTAGAATCGTGTAGCCTATTATTAGAAGTTCTCTATCGTAAACAAAGGAATAAAATAAAATTAATGACCAACAATCCAATAAAGAATACAATACTAAACAGTACAATCTCACCTCCAGACTATCTGACAAAAGTATATAAAACACACTGTTGTTTATCAAGGATTTTCCCAGGTTTGCAAGAGTAAATTTTACAAATAGGACTAGTAGATAATTCATAAAGATGGACATCTTCATCATAATTAATGCATCTTTTGCATTCTCGAACACTCGATAAGTAAGTGTAATATCCCGATGGACATTAAATACACCTTGAATTTATTTTATCTAATCCAAAACCTTAAGGACATTCATTGTAATAAATTGATCCTTATAACGAATTTAGCCCTGCCTTTATTTTTAAATTATGATTCATGGGGTCATCAAAATATATTCTCCCTCCACTACCTGTTCCACTGATTTTTGATCCTTAACCTCCCTCTGCTGACACAACTCCTCCTCCAAATAATTTTCCTCTTAATTAAATCGATCCTCCAGAACCTCCACCATATATAGTTGAGTCATCTCTCTAAGATGCTCCCCCATTAGCTTCAATCACTCCATCTATTATAATGTTCACACTCTAAAAATAGATGACTCCACCACCGTATCCTCCGAAGTAATTTCCTCCTCCTCCTGAACCTTCAAATAACGGATTGAATGGATTGCCATAACCTTATCTTGGCACTAAATTTTGACATTATTCATTAAAATCATTCACCTCTGATGTTGGCCTTCCACCCAAACCACCATAACTACCGCCAGATGACCCACATTTAAGAGTATATGATAGCATCCAATCATAGAATCCACAACCGTATCCTTATTATTCTTTACATCCTAAACCAGATGTATAAACTATAGACTTTGAATCTACTGTTATATTGGATAGATTGGCATAAATACCAATACTGCTTCCATATAATGATGTATTCTGTAGAAGTACTTCATTTGAAGCTATTCCAAGAGTGAAATTGTCATCTAAATTAATTGGAATTCTCTAAAATGATTTAATGTCTCTGATCGAACTTGAATTACAATATCCTTAGTTACATAAGCAATCAGCTCCTAGACATTTTTAAACATGGCATTATAATATAGAGTGTTCCAATTCGACATAATCAGAATAGATCATTAAAAAATTGGTATTCATTCTTACATCCTGCAATAATAAGGTTTTTGCTTTAAATTAAACTTTATCAAAATAAACAAATACTACATCTTAGAGGACTATTTGTTATCCTTGAAATGCTAAATCTACTAAGTTCTCCCCTATATTTTACTAAAATGTCGAAGATTATATAGTCATAATTTAGCTTTTTAAGGAGTACTTCTCAACTGAGGATTAATGATTAACAATGTTAAAGACAACATTCCTCATAGTAATATTTTGAAAGGTCCACGCAGTTTATACGAATAACAATGCTTCGCAGTCTTTTATAATGCAATTATCCTGATTAAAACAATCTAAATATTATTATTAGCAATCTTAAAGGGCAAATGCATTATAAATATAAATGAGCAGGAACATATTTATTATTTATTAAATTATTATATGAGTGTTGTATAACAATAGTGTTAATTATTGAGTATTTATCTTTAGCGCTTTGGGAAAGTCTAACTTTTTTGCAATCACTCAGTTTCATATAAAAGCTAAATTAATCTGATCCATAGTTAAAATTTTTTTTAAAGAATTAACCTTCTTTCATTTATGGGAGATTACATTAAAGCCTTAATTGAAACCTAAGTCATCGGAGCATTTAGAGTCGCATTAACCATGCCTTTGGAACATGTGCTTGATAGAATTAAGACCTACAAGCAATCAAAACAAGGAATAACTTATGTTTAAGTACAATAATCGATTGAGACTGTAGAGCTACTTGGACATCAAAGGAGCAAGAGGATTGATCGGATTGTACGATGGCTTCTACCCTAGCTTTTTGAGAAACATGGTGAAGCAATACTATAGATGGCCCATGATGATTTTCATCCCTTCCATGCTGAATGATCACATCCACAACCAATCTCTGAACAAAATAATCACAGGAGCCTCCATTGGATTATTCGAAAGTTGCATTATTACGCCTTTTGAAAGACTGAAAACTCTGAAGATGACCTCTATGGCTACAGGATTTGGTTATCTCAAATACATCACTTTGGAATCTATTTATGTAGGATTTAGAATTCAAACAACAAGGCAGGTGGTCTCATGGACAAACTATTTGTATTGGGATCACAAAGTTCGTTATGCATTAAAAGCAGACCCTGGTCAACCACTCTCAATAATCAATTCATTGATTGCTTCAACGTTGAGTAGCATTCTGAACATTCTAGCAGGTATGAATTCAATTTTTAAATCAGTGCATCCCTTTGATACAATAAAAACTCTAGTTTAAATGGAAGAAAACCAAAATTATCGAAAAATCTCTTTGTATTAGTCTTTTAAGATTGTCTATCAAAATTATGGCCTTGCAGGTTTATATGCAGGATGGTAAGCTAGAATTATAGCTTACTTCTGTCAAGCTCTTCTTACCACTCCCACTATAGATTATTTAGAAAGAAATTATGGTATTTCTAAAGGTAAAAAGTAATAATGATGAGATTATTCTCATATCAAATTCTATATGTAGGTTTTATAATTTACATATATTTTTCAAATTATCAAACCTCTATAAATCATAAATACTAATTTAAGTAAATAATCTCAATTAATGAATTAATCACTTCCCCCAAAAATTCGATTCATTAGACTTAGGCATCTTTGAGTATTCAAATTTGTTCAATTTCTCATCCTCCTTTTAGGCAACCCACAATGTCTTTTTCTAAACTACATCATTTAGCTTTTTAGGTTCTCCTGGATACTCTCTAATTGCATTATTCTACCAAAAATCAAAAGGATCATCCCTAGCATTTACATCCACAAATTTAGATTCATCAAATAACTTATTTTCCCTTGGTTTCCTCAACTACTCTTGAACCACTTTTATTCTATATTCATCCTCTACTTTATTCTATAATCTAAATTTAATCATTATAATACTATCTTAAAGTCTGACCCTAGAGTTACACCTATTATTCTAATCTTTTGATTTATTCATCCTTCGATTTTAATTATTGATCCTAATCTTTAACCTTTATTACTAACATTCTAAGTTAAGCATTTCTTTATCTCACCAAATCTCTTAATTTATCGTTCTCATCTTCAGTCTTTCTTTTCGTAGTAGCTAAATTTAACAAAGCATTATCAATTGCAAATCTTATATCATCCTCCTTGTCACTCTCCTCCTTCAACATCTCTATTACATTTTGTACAGTATTAATATCCTTCTAAGCTAATTCAATTTGTTCATTCTCAAATTTGTTTTCCTCTTGCAATCCTTCAGCTAGTAATTATGCCTCTTGGATTTCTCCGTAAAGTTCATTCAAAAACTTTACTTCATGTGGATTCAAGTCCCATGACTTCGCTGATATAGTATAGTTCTTATTCTATTGAGACTAATTCAACTTATCTTCCTGATTCTCCTATTAAACCTATTCATTAGTTTTTGATTTGTTAAGTTCATCCTTAAGAGATTAATTCAATACGGACTAATTATTAATTGAAGATTAAGATTTAGATTAATTAAGTTATGCTTAAGAACCATTTTTTGAGATGTTCGCTTAGGAGTTATTAACTTATTCTTTGCTTTTATTCTTACTCATATTATTAATATTTTTATATAATTATATTGTAACTAAATTTCTTTAAATATAAGATGCTTGGATAATGTTAAAGCGATTAATGAATGAAGAATATAGTCTATGTATGAGACAGTATCACTTTGAATAAATTCCCTGAAAAATAATATCTTTAAAGAAGATGAAATAGTTTTATAGTATGATAAACTATGGTTGTTTAATTAAAAAATGATAATTATATATTATTTGGTTTCGTTCTTTATTTAGATTGGTTATCTATTTTAAAGCCACTAATTTAAATATTACCATATATATTTAAAATTACTCTCTTATATAAAAATCATCAAATCTAATAATAACTTCTATTGAATATTTTAATTAGTTCTTAAATACTAAGCATATTCAATATTAAAATAGCTATTACTTTAAACAGTAAATTAATTGAATAAAAAATTAATTAATTATTAAAAAATAAAAATTTACGCCCGAACAGGGTCTCGATCCCTGGACCTAGAGATTAAGAGTCTCTCGCTCTACCAAGCTGAGCTATCCGGGCGTATTGAACAAATTGACCTTTATTTTCTTATGAACGGATAGATCATTTTCATTTTTATATTATTTTAAAATATAAAATATTCATTATAAAAGCTACAAAAACAAGTGAAATAGATCTTAAAATTTCGGATCTTTGTTCTCATTATATATTAATTCTAATTTTGGCTTGATCTTCTTAATATCTTCAATTATTTTATTAGATTGAACTTCTTTTGCGTAATTCAAGAACCTACAAAGAGTGTCCACAAAGATCTTTAAAACTACTGTATCAACTTCATCAATAAAGTTTCCTATTATCTCTATTGTTCCTAATTCAATGAGTGTCTGAAAAACTGCATTATCTCCTGTCTTTTAAAGATTTTAAATGACTTGGATGCAATTTTACTTTTCTTACAGAACTGAAGCAATTAACCCATTGATAACTCTGTTTATGATTTTATGTTAAACAATTTTATTTGAGATTTAACGATCATTATAAGCAAGGTTGATTACAATTAAAAACGACAATTTTCTTATTTACTTCTTTCTATTGTTGCTATATTCCAAAGCCACATCTAAAATGTTTTATTCTATCAAAAACTTTAAATATATAATTAAGAGTTTACATTCGAAAAATTTATTGAGTCTGTTAATGAAAACTACTTTAAAACCTACAAAGTTGTTTCTTCGAATTCTCCTTTTAAAGTTGAAAAAACATATTATACTATTTTTGAACTTATCAAGTACTTATCAATCTCTTCATTTTGTGCATATAATACAGTTAATGGATGCAATATTTCATTTTATAATATATCGCAATCAGTTCTATTAACTCCTTTTTCTAGAATTTATAAGCACGTAATTCTCTAATTAAATAATAATAGTAATTACATCATTGATGCTTAGATTATGATTATCCATAATATAGCATATATTGTGCATACAGAAACATATATTTCTATATAAATTACTATCAGCTGACGTGCTCAGTTCTAATAAGCGATCAAAACACTTCACTAAATATTAACAAATTTCTGGCCATTTATTCGCAATATTCCCTAAGTATATCAGAATCTAATAATATATAATAAGTAATACATCGCTTATATCCTAGTTGTCTGTTAATGATAGAAGTAATTGATATGAAATTTCTAAAGATTGGATTAAATGTTAAGGCTATTATTATAAAAATGATGGATGATTGCAAGAATTAGCTAGGGTTCTAATAACATCACATTAGACTTCTTTAATCATTAAACTAGGGAGGCTGTGTTATAAATAATTATTTGTAATTAAGAATTCCTGATTTTATGTAATTTAGTTAGAGTTATAGCTAGAGACACAATTAAATGCAAACAGATGAAGTTATTTTAATTCTTAAATATTCTAATTCAATTAAGACTATTAAATTTATGGTATTAAGTTGGTTAATTCTAAATCGTCTTTTTCTCTCATTTCATTCTGTTATCTAATTAAAATCCTTTTTTAATTAAATATTCTTTCTCTATCCATTCTACGAATTTCTGATCGAAAGGCATCTTTTTTTTATGTTACATATTCTTAAGGATTATTAAACATAATATTATAATCAATTAAATTATTTTTAAAACTTTTTCTATTTTTTCTTATTATTTCTTTATTTTTTATTACTCATCCTTTTGGTATTTGGAGACTCTTCAGACCAAATTGAATATTATGAAGGAGAATCTTCCTAATAATGCTTTTAAATTGTTTTTTTGGTTTTATGTGGCATACTCTGACTATATTCATTTTTTTAATGCTTTTATCTATATTAATGTTCATGATGATGATGATGGTCATGATTATGTTAATAGTGATGTTAATGATTATGTTTATTCTTTTAAGAATGATCCACTCTGTTCATTTTTTCTCTTTCTCTTTATTCCTTCCCTTCACAATAAAGTAAATCATATTTTTTGTATCCTTTTGAAAAACAATTCAAATGTCCTCTCTCTTAACAATTTATACATAAAAGATCCTTCAATCTTTGCTTATCCTTTTCAAATACATTCTCATCATCTATAATGATAACATTACAATCCTTAGATTTGTGGCCCTTTTTATTGCATCTATGGCATTTGAAGCCCTCAACATCGCAATCCTTTGCCATATGTCCAGCTTGGTTGCACTTGAAGCATAAACTATTAGGGCATTTTAAATAATAATGATCTCCCAAACAAAATCGACAAGTCACTTTAGATTCAGCAATGTCTTCAACACACCATTTTTCAAAATGGCCAGGCTTTGGTTATCACTACCAATTACTTTTTTGCATCTTCTGCATACTCCTTTAGAGAGTACATCAATACTATCAAGATTAAAGTATCTAGTCTAAACTTGAGCTGATTGATCTGGATCTGGATCTTCCTCTTTCTCCTCATCCTCTTTAACAAATCTGGCTATCTTATCTACTAAATTGGTTTATTAGGTAATTCTATCCTTGCTTTGATTGTACACACTATAAATCCTTGGATCCTGGTCTCCCACTCTTTCCGATCTCACAGCATTATCTATAATAGAGCACAACGGGCCAGCTTCTACTACATATGCTGTGGGCAAGAAGTTGGAGAGATCAAACTAATTGAAAAGACCATTCATTAATTTATTTATATTTGGAATTAATATAATTATTAAAAAGAGATCACCATCCTCTTGATATTCTTTAATTAATTGAAATATTAATAGATTACGGAAATAATATTTTGAAGACTGTTCTTCCACTTAATAAATTTATAATAAACAACGGAGAAACAACATTAATATAAAAAGGTATCCAGAATAAATTTTTTCTTTCTGGTTAAACCAATTTCAAGATCACTTTCACTTTATAATCTCTTAAGATAGAATAGATAAATATTATTTCATATTATTTTTTAATGAGTGAAAAGGATTGTGATTGATTCTTTCTATTTCTTATATATATTCATTTCCCACTTTTATATGGGATGTAAAATTTCATCTTCCTTTTAATTCAGAATTATAAGATGTTTTAATATCTTAAAATAATCAAATTACAACAATTAAATCACATCGTATTTTAGAATAGTTCAAAATATACAAATGATAGCAGATAATCTAATTTCTTTAATTTCAACAAGTATTTCCTTTGTTTTATTTTAATCTATACAAAGTTTTTATTGTATTAATTAATTAATTATAATATTATATTTGTGTTAAATGATTATCTAAAACTTGTAATTCGAAGAAATAATAATTAAACCAAAGAGTATTAAAAACAAAAACGCTATTAAAGAGAAGCTTTAATCAGATAAAGTAGAAGAGATTGATATAAATGAAATACCACCTTCTCAAATACTTGAATTATTTCCAAATCATGTTACTTTATCAAGTACAAACATCCTTAGTGAATTATTGAATACAAATTTGTCCGATGATTGCCTATATAAAATCTTAGGGATCTTAGTTTAATGGGACAACTAAAATAATGTCGATTTTACAAAGTTATATAAGCAATTATTTTATTCACCAATGTAATTATATTTATATAATTTATAGTTGTAAGAGCATTCTATCAACCAATTTAAATTATAGTAGTGAGAATCTAATAATTATTGTTAATCAATTGATTTCTGTCTTTTAGTCAGCCATTTGTGACGAACCTTCTAAAATTGAAAATGTATTTGTTTTAATCCATTAATATAGATCACCTCATGGATATCTGTTCTTGTTGAGAATAATAAATTAACTATGCCAAAAAAAGAAACATAGAAATTATTGGAATTATTGAAACAATATTAAAATTATTAAGAGTCCATTAGAAATATCAAGCGTCTTATTAATTTTAGTCCAGTCCAATAGAAGAGAGAGAATAAAGTAACCTAAGTTTATTTTTGAATTGTTTATAATTGTATAATTGAAAATTTGATATGTACTATCGCAAGGTTTAATAAATTGTAATAAATTGTTTATACATTTGATTTTATCAACGTTGAACTTGCTAGAAATTAGCAAATGTCTTGGCTTTGAGCTTCGTAAGTTCATCTCTTAATATCTCGATTTCTTCAGCCTATTCTTTGGCCTTCTTAAATAATCTGTAATTACGAGCAATTTAACTAAAATATATTAAATATGTTTATACGTAAATTTATCTTCTTATGGTTCTTATTATTCTTCTCCTTACCTAACATTCTTCTTGTTTTACATATCTGAAATATCTTATAATTATTTAACATTTCCCTAGAATAATATAAAATAAATACAGATAAAACTCCTCCCTATCCAATTAATTATTGATTCTCCTTTTTAATGAAATCAATATCTTTTTCAATCTTTTCTCTCTTCTTGTTAATAATCTATAATCTCTTATCAGTGGCACTCTTTAACAGATCTATCTAATCCTTCAGATTAGCTAGTTCTCTCTCATTCAATCTGGTATCATCCTTGGTTAAAGCAATTTGCATTTCCTTTTTAACTTTCAATAATTGGACTTCCCTAGTCTTGCATTCTAAATCCTAAATAATGAGATCTCTCTTCTTTAGATCATATTCATTTTTTTCAACTTAGTATTTACTTTTAATAATATCTTTCATCAATTCAATTTTAGCATCTCCTTCCTTTTTGATTTCATCATTCTTTTTCTCAATAGTTTCTCTAGGAATCAGTGCAGCATCTTGTAAATTAGGTACTGGTTTGTCTTGACTGATTTCAACGTATCCTTATTTGAATCTGAACATGACTTCAATATTAGATCTACTCTTTTCAAGCATACTATGTAAACTCTAAATGTCTTCTTCACTATTTTAGAGTTATGAAGATAATTGATTAAATTCTTATTCAAACTTTTTATTGAAATTTTCAAGATCATTGGAATCCTTATCAATTTTTTCATATTCTAATTTCATTCTGAATCTTTAAGTTAGAACTTATAATAGTTGATCACGAACATGTTCAAAATCAATTCCTTATAGATTGCTAGCTTTCTCTTAGATATCAAATAAGTAAGTTTCAAATTATTCATCCAACTATGCAGATATAATTTTCTTTTGATTTTCAAACAATGGATCAATTTAGATGAGTACATCCTTATATTTTTGAATTTTGAGCAATTTCTCATCAGATTCCTATTTAGCTCTTTCATTAGTCTTCTAATCTTCAAAAGCATATTGCCAAAGGATCTTAACTTTATTTGCATCCATACCAGCAGTCTAACCTCTATTGAAGTAATTGACTATTTAGTCATTCAAAGTTTTCCTTTATTATTAGGTCAAATCTCTAGTTTAATCTAGATTATTCTTCATTTATTGTAATTGATTTAATTGAGTAGTCATCTCATCATGCAATTTCTCCAATTCTGAAACTCTCAATTAAGCCTATTATGAGATAATAATAGATAATGCCAATCTTACAATTGATAATTCTTATTCAAGTATTCTATAGTCATATTCTAATTTTCTTCTAAATAGAATCAACAATTTATCATCAAATCTTTAACAAATATCAGTAATTTCATTATTCAACTTTTTGAGTTCAGCTTCTAAATTTTTACGAATCTTTTCCTTTTCTTCTTCCAACTTCTACTTCCTAACTTCAAATTCTTTTAATTTCATTCTTTCCTCCTCTGTCATATCATCTGGACTCTTCTTCATCCATTCTTCCACTTCTAATTTTTCATCTAATGGAGTTTCCTTCTTTTCTTCCAAAGTACCTCCCATCATATCTTTGACTGCTCTAACTCCCGAATCATCAGCCATCAAGGCTTTCAAACGAGCTTCCTCTTTCAATCTTTCTTATTCCTTCTTTTCTCTCATTTCTCTTGTCTCATATTGTTAGAATCCTATTTCTTCAGGTTTAACAGTCAATATTTTTTCTGGATCTTCCAAAATATTCTTCTTCATTTATTATAATTGAGGATCTCTCTTCAATTCCCCGTTAATTTCGATGATTCTCTTGTTTCTTTCATTGATATTATCCAATTATTATTATCTCTACTTTTAGATCAATTCAAATTCAGCATTAAATTATCTTTTCATTGAAAATATCACATCATTTATCAATATCATTTAATTTCTCTTTCTATTAAGTGTAAATAACTCGCTAACTCCATATAAATAATCCCATTCCGTCAATTCTTCACTTCCCTCTTTTTTCTCTTCAGTGACCTTTTGCTATTATTACTATTTCTCCAATTCTTTCTATTTTTCCTCTTCCTATCTCTTTTCCTCCTCTTATTATTATTGTTATTATTATTATTATTATCTTGCTTTGATACTTGCAGCACCAGCCTATGCTCTGCCTGGTGGTTATTTTTATTGAACTCCTCCAACACCAGGCTTAGCAGCAACCTTAGTGGGAGCCACTTCCTCCTTCTTTTCATAATCATTTAAGACCATTGTCTAAACACCAGGTTTGGAGTTGATTATATATTTTGGATCTTGAATATGTTCTTCAATACTCCATGCTTCTTTAATTGCTTATTGTTTTCTGATTTTGAGTTCTCTAATTTCTTATTTTCTTAATTCTCTAATCAATTTTAATTTTCTCATTTCTTCAGATTGTCTAACTCTAATATGATAATTGGTAACAATGATATGTTATATTAATCCATTAACACCTTTCAATGGAATTTCAATTTGATCCCAAGTTCTCTCTTTAATCAACTAATAGAGAATCTCTTGCTTAACATTTTCTTTCTTGACCAAATCTCTTAATGCCTATTATTATTTCTTTCCATCCTCTAAAATAGCATCTCGAGCATATAGATCAATAACAAATTCATCTCTTTATAATTTTTCTAATTCATCAGCCTCAGCATTTTCTTATAAAAGTGCATTTAATTTAGTTTGAATTTATTTCAGTAGATCTTTTGTTTATTTCTTTTGTTATTCCCTAATAGGAGCCTACTATTCAAGAAATTCACTCTCCAAAACTTATTAATAGTATCTGACTTCCTAATCTGGCATATCCTAAATTTCCATAGGAGCATTGTAATTATTCTTCATCAATTAAGCTGCATCTGAATCTCCTCTAATTTTCTCTCCTGTCCACCAGAATATATCTCCTTCAAAACCACCAGAATATATCATCTTATACTTCTATGATACATATATAGTAGAGACACCTCCAGATTTCAAATTATGTCCTCTCAATAATCTTACATCTTAATTTAGTTGCTGATAACTTCTAAACATTATTGTGCCGTCCTTCGCTGAAGAGTATAGAAAGTCTTTAATTGCCAAGCATGTAGCTGGTAATTGATGGCCATCCTATTCATCTACTGGAGGTTAATTTGCAACTCTCATTTTTAAGTCCATTTTAGATAATAATTCTTCGGGAAATTTATATTTCTTAAAGATCTTATCCTTTCCAGTTGTTATAACCTCCTATTAAGGTGTAACTATCAATAGAGTTTAATCTGGGTCAATCTTTCTTCCCATAATTTACACTTCCAATTTCAAAGATTATTATTATTTTGGTTGAGGTATACTCAACAATAAAAATGAGCATATGCAAAATAATTAACCTTTTCCATATGCAATTGCTTAACAATTAAATGGAAGATCCACAAACCCAATCAAATTTTCATTTTAAAAGAAAAATACTGTTGGAGAATCACTGCTGCAAACAGCCAAATTGTTGTCATTAATACTTATACTCGATATAGCTTTGTCAATATAAAGTTTTATCATCTTGAAGAGCACTGGTTAACGAATGTCAGCAACATTATAAAATCTTAATACTCCTGCTGATGTACCTATTATTAAGTTTGGTTCTATCAATTCTCCAGAAATTATTTTGCCTTCAATATTAAAGCTGCTCAAAGGTTACTCTAAAATTTAAAATATCTTTTACTTGTTATCACATCCATAAATAAAACAACTCCTTAGTCTGATCCACATACAATCACATTATGTTATTTGTATTCTCTGATAAATGTTATGACTCCTCTTTAAAAGGGACCTAACTTAACTGGTTCAATTTCATGAGTCAAGTCTATAATTTTGTCCTCCTCTTGCTAATCAACTTAGGCTTCATCTTCTCCCAAAAATCCTTCTGCAGCCACAGGAATTATAAAGAGAGTAGCGTTGTCTTATGAGCAAATCAGTTTAGTGCATTATTGATTGTACATTATTTTTTTGACTTCTCTGCGATCATGAAAATTATATTTCTTATTCACTTTAAATGGTACAGCCACTTTATCTTCCAAATTATTGGTTATATATTTGTACAACCATTCAATTTTAGAATTAACATATACAACAATCAAATGGACTTAGGTTGGTATTAAGTGCTTTATTTCTGAATGACATTCGTGTCTTGCAATCTCAGTTAAATTTGTTCCATCTAAATAAATCAATACATTTCCTTAGATTAAATAGATGTTGTTTTATTCAAATTGGGTTTTTGAATCATCAATTAGATTGTAATCCTAGACCATTATTGTTGGAGCTGATAATTCAATTGATGTCACCAATTCCAATTAGACTTACTTCTGAATTTGATTATCATAATGTGGTGTAATTTAATATAATTGCAATTCGTTTGCATATCTAATTAGAATTCGTTCACCTAAGATTGTGAATTTTGCCTCTATGAAATTCAACTTCAAGGGTAATTAACTAAACTTTCCTTTGACTCTGCACTTCTCTCTTAAATCCCATAAACAGATTTCAAATTTTGGCACTCCCAAAATCACCAACAAATAACGTCCACAGTTAGACACTTCCATTTAGAGGATTTCCAATGGACTCACACCAACCAAATCATATTCATTTTCATTATCATAAACATGAACTAATGGATTGAGTCCATATTCTGCTACAACCAATATGTTTTTCCTATAATGAACTGTAAAACATTAGAATCCCTATCTCTAAGAATGCACAAAGGTCTTGCTGTTGTTTTCTAGATTCCACTTACATAAAGTATCTAAACAATCTTATTTATTTGATTACTTCCAGCCAAAAAGCCAATTGTGTCTTATTCAAGCAACTCCCATTTGTCTCCAGTAAACGCTATGCAATCACTAAATATGTTAACCCATTTCTTACTAAACATTCATCGGTTATCTTTTTAGAAATATTAATTAATATATTTTTATTTCACAAATATAAGAACTTATTAATACTATTCAAAATAAGAAAGACTATGATTACTAATTAGATCAAAAACTCATTTTAATTTGTTTTTCTAAATTCATTATTTATTTAAAACTGAGTGTAGAAAAGATTAAACACAAAAAATAATGAAAATCCCATTTGTGAATAATAAAATCAAATTTAATATTGTTTATAAACAAATTTCAATTAGATCTCCCTGTTGATCCGAATAATTCCTTTTCTAATTATTATCTCTTTAATTAATCACTTTTCTCATTCTCTCTTTCCTTCTGCTTGTTCGTTGACATTTCATTTCTGATCTTCTCAATTTAATATTTACATTTCAACAATAATTAACCAACATTCTAACCATGCTTTGCACTAATCATCATGTAATCAAATTCCTATTTTATCAGATCAGCCTTGTTAACACAAACTAAATAAGGCTTTTCTAAAATCTTCTCATTATACTCTTTAATTTCACTCTTTAATATTTATAATTGCTCCTCAATATTTCCTGCTTAGCCATCTAACACATATAGTAATAACTAAGATATATTCATGTATTAAATACTCGACATCTTTCAATGTGTCTCAAAAATTCATGTCCTAATCCCTTATCATTATGGGCCTCTTCTATTAACCCTGGAATGTCTGCTATGGTCATTTCCATATTATCTACAAATCTCACCTTCCCCACCATAGGATTCAATGTTGTAAATGGATAATCTGCTATCTTAGGCAAAGCTCTTGATGCTGCAGCCAATAATGTTGATTTTCCTGCATTTGGAAATCCTACAAGTCCTATGTCTGCTAAAGTCTTGACTTCTAAAAATATGTCCTTTTCCTGTCCTTATTATCCCAATTGCACTTCTCTAATTCCTATATTTCTTGCATTTCCCTTTCCTCCAGCACCACCTTTTGCAACCAAACACTCTTTATTATGTTCATCAAGATCAGCTATCAGTTCTTTTGTATCATCTGATTTTAACTCATAAACCAAGGTTCCCAGAGGAACACTTACTTTTATATCAGAACCAGTTTTCCCATTGCATTTCAATTTCATTCCTTATTTACCATTTATCCCAATTAAATGTGGCTTTCTTATAATGCTTAGATCATAGATTTATTAGGAAGCCTTCAAATAGATGTCTCCTCCTTTTCCTCCATCTCCTCCATCGGGGGCACCTGTAACTACAATACGATCTCTATTTCATAAATTTAGAACTCACCTATAATAGCACACACATCCTTTACCACCATCACCAGCTTTCACTTTTATTTTCATCTTATCAACAAAGTGTCTCTCATTAAAACTAGCTGTAGATTTTAGTATTGTGCAAAATTTGCTGTAAATTTTCATGAATTAATTATATTATTGATTAATAAACTATATTAATGTAAATTAAATGTATTTTAATTTTCAATGTCATTCATGATTTTTATGATTTTTTTCAAAACTTTTTAAACTATTGTTTTAATATTTTACAATCATTTTTGTTTAAATAAGAAAAATTATTAGGAAGATATTTTCAATTAAAAATACTACATTTACTAACTTTATATTTATAACGTTGTTTGAATTAGTAGAGTAGTATGAATTAATAATAACATTAATTGTTAAATAGAATAAATAATAACTCAAATTTTTTACGGATGTTCCAGTTTAATCGTAGATAACGAAATCTCTTTATAGACTTCTCTTCCCAACTCTTTTTATTGAATTTATTTTTTTCTATAATAAAAGATAATAGCAATCAAAAGTATTAAGAATATCAAAATGAAGATAAAGAAACTTAATTAAGAAAACTTATTTTATACAATTTGTTATTGAGTGGCTTAAAGGTAAAATGTCTCTTAATCCATGTAATCATTTTCATCTAAATAATAATCTAATATAATTTACCCAAATAGCTTTAATTAGTACTAATAACTTTAAATTCAAGAGTAATCGGATATGTAATATCTTAAGATAATTATTATAACGCATATCCTCCTCTTTTCCCAGCAGATAATACAACAGTTTGATTATGTTAAAAATAATCTTAGAACAAAAAATGTGTACTATTAAGTATCTCAACTTGTTAAAGGACTTTAGTTGAATAAATAGGATCCTAGATGTGCTCAGTAGTTTTCATATCATAATAATAATTTGTAATGCCACACTAAAGGATCAAATCCTCGTAAGCTATCAAAATAAAATTACAATATTAATCTTAATCAGGATACCTTAAAATCTTATTAATACTTAGTTCATATTTCTATTCCCTTAGATAAAGATTAACTTAAAAGAGCACAGCCTTAAATTTTGTGATGAAAAAAAATATACTTAAATCAAGTTATTAGTTGCTAGAACTAAAATTCAATTTTAGTAATCTTAAGCAATCAAATGATGAACTAGATGGTTATCCATAAATTAAATCTCTAATTTAATACTTCGAAATAGATACTTCATAGACTTAATAGATTTAGACCTATGCATTAATAATTTTAAATAATCTAATTAAAATAATTTGTTCGATTCCATTTAACTTTACTTCTAAATAAGTTTCAGAATCTATATTCTCAATTAAACTGCCCCAATTCAGAATAGAATTTTTTAATTCGTTTATGTCATCTTAATCAATTAAAAATTTCTTCTCAAATTGATAATTTGAAATATGTAAAATATTTTACACTAATCTTATTCCTTTTAATGCGTTGAAAGCATACAAGTCAATCTATTTTTGAACCTTAAAGAATTGATCTTTTAGCATCATTAATGAAATTGAAAGAGAATCTTAATCTAATTAATGAATAAATAAGAATTAATTCTCTCTTATCACTTCTATGAATAATAGATGTTAAATTTAATGCTCCAAATCATCAGCTGAATAAATGTTCTCAGATTATCCAACTTTAAAAAATATCAAATTTCCAGTAGTAGCTACTTGAAAACAAAACTTATTGCAATAATATGAACATTTCATAAGGATTTCATTTTCAAGGGGATGTCTTAATTTAAAATTGTCATCTTTATTCAAAAATATATTATCTATTCTTCCCAGAACATTATTTCTAAAATTTATCTCTTAATTCTCATTCTCAAGAAATATAATAGAATTTTTATTGAATAACTTCATTATGCTTGGATTTAACAGTGTTATAGAAACATCTTACTTAACTGGAGGAATTTAACTGTCTTCTAATTCCACTTACAACTACACCATTACATCCTAGCTACTTTTATTTGTAAATTCTAAATCCTCTATTTCAATAGTAATAAACATATAGATCAAATCTTAGATAGCCAATTAGTGTTTGCTGTCAAAATAATATAAATAATATTCAGAAATCCAAAAATATCGACTTTTTGTTTCGATAACTAATTACAATAAATGAGAAGATATTTGAGCTGCTGAGTTGAAAATTAACAGAAATAATTTCTTATTAATTTTATGTTAGCAAGAGATTATAAACTAAGAACTCATCATTTTAAATTCAAGAGGTTAAACAGGAACATATAACCCTAAATCATAACTTCTGACGAAATTAAACTCAAATAATGTCAATAGGTAAAATTACAATTCATTTTTAATTATATCTAATAACATTAAATTAGCAAGATCGGGGCCCTTTCTTTAAGAAATAAGTCTTATAATTTTACCATTAATACTAATTCCTAAAATATATAAAAATATACTTTGCGTAATTGTTTCTTTGAATACTACATGCAGTTAATTACTGTATATGGCAAGAAAAAAATCATCCTTTATATAAATAATGTCTTAAAAATTTAGATTTAATTATTTGGGTGAAAAGACTCTGAATATTTGTAATTCATTTCTAACAGTTTGTAAATAGTAGAATACATGTTAATCCTTCACTTTTAATAAAATGTAGTTTAAATTCATTATTTTTTCAATTTATGTATCTAAACAGATCATCTTGATTGGGGACTCTTCCAAATCTCGATTTCTTAAAATAACTTTATAAAGACAATGTCTTGATTAATCTAAAAATAAAAGAGTGATCTAATCTTCATATTAAAGTATAATTTATTCATCCCAAGGTGATAAATTTTAATGCTAACGAATATTTTTTTCCTTGCAGTTATATTCAACAAAATTATCTCTAGAACCTTAGAGAATTAGAGAGTAAATTTAACTATTTACAGTTTTAATAATAAATTTCCCTTAATAGTTTTTAAAATAATGATCAAATTAGCACTTTGCTTCAATGCTCTTTTATTTAAATTTTATTTAATCTAATGAAGAAGATAAAGTTAATCTATAAGGTTTAATTGAAAAAATAAATGGTCTGGTAAAGAAAATTTCAAACTATTCCTCATAATTAGTTCTTTCAGCATAAATATAGGTTTATTCCAAATCAATCTTAACAGGATATTCCTTTTTCTTTTCGTCATTATCATCGTCGATTATAATGGGTTTATAACAATTCAAATAGGAAGTCTCAATACTCTGNATCTATTCTTCCCAGAACATTATTTCTAAAATTTATCTCTTAATTCTCATTCTCAAGAAATATAATAGAATTTTTATTGAATAACTTCATTATGCTTGGATTTAACAGTGTTATAGAAACATCTTACTTAACTGGAGGAATTTAACTGTCTTCTAATTCCACTTACAACTACACCATTACATCCTAGCTACTTTTATTTGTAAATTCTAAATCCTCTATTTCAATAGTAATAAACATATAGATCAAATCTTAGATAGCCAATTAGTGTTTGCTGTCAAAATAATATAAATAATATTCAGAAATCCAAAAATATCGACTTTTTGTTTCGATAACTAATTACAATAAATGAGAAGATATTTGAGCTGCTGAGTTGAAAATTAACAGAAATAATTTCTTATTAATTTTATGTTAGCAAGAGATTATAAACTAAGAACTCATCATTTTAAATTCAAGAGGTTAAACAGGAACATATAACCCTAAATCATAACTTCTGACGAAATTAAACTCAAATAATGTCAATAGGTAAAATTACAATTCATTTTTAATTATATCTAATAACATTAAATTAGCAAGATCGGGGCCCTTTCTTTAAGAAATAAGTCTTATAATTTTACCATTAATACTAATTCCTAAAATATATAAAAATATACTTTGCGTAATTGTTTCTTTGAATACTACATGCAGTTAATTACTGTATATGGCAAGAAAAAAATCATCCTTTATATAAATAATGTCTTAAAAATTTAGATTTAATTATTTGGGTGAAAAGACTCTGAATATTTGTAATTCATTTCTAACAGTTTGTAAATAGTAGAATACATGTTAATCCTTCACTTTTAATAAAATGTAGTTTAAATTCATTATTTTTTCAATTTATGTATCTAAACAGATCATCTTGATTGGGGACTCTTCCAAATCTCGATTTCTTAAAATAACTTTATAAAGACAATGTCTTGATTAATCTAAAAATAAAAGAGTGATCTAATCTTCATATTAAAGTATAATTTATTCATCCCAAGGTGATAAATTTTAATGCTAACGAATATTTTTTTCCTTGCAGTTATATTCAACAAAATTATCTCTAGAACCTTAGAGAATTAGAGAGTAAATTTAACTATTTACAGTTTTAATAATAAATTTCCCTTAATAGTTTTTAAAATAATGATCAAATTAGCACTTTGCTTCAATGCTCTTTTATTTAAATTTTATTTAATCTAATGAAGAAGATAAAGTTAATCTATAAGGTTTAATTGAAAAAATAAATGGTCTGGTAAAGAAAATTTCAAACTATTCCTCATAATTAGTTCTTTCAGCATAAATATAGGTTTATTCCAAATCAATCTTAACAGGATATTCCTTTTTCTTTTCGTCATTATCATCGTCGATTATAATGGGTTTATAACAATTCAAATAGGAAGTCTCAATACTCTGTAAATTATTAATTTATTCAAATTAATAGTATTATTAGGAGAATTATTAATTTTTATTTTAAAATGGTAAACATGGTATTGAACTTTTAATCAATATAAATATTATTTAATTTCCATCTTCTATTCCAATAAACATTTTTTAATTAGAAAGCTATGACAAATACTAAATTTGTCTTTTTATAGTTTATTGAAGGATATCATTTACATAGAAAGTGAAATAATCTCCATACATAACGAATAAGCTTTGGGGAGATGATATTTAAAAGATACTTGTAGGTAAATCTTTTTTATTAAAGAGAAAGTTTTAATACTTTTTGGGGAAGGAATAAAAAATCTGGTTTTTGGGTAAATTTTTTACTATGAATTTTAGATTACAATCTAGATCAAACATAACACGCATCTGATTAAGTTTTAGATCTTATATAAGAAACAAACTCTTTATTGTTTCATCTTTAATTGTATATCCACCTGATGAAAGTAGCATAACAAAACAAGTTTAACATTATTTAAAGTCAATTAGATTTCCTTCAATGTTATACTTCTCTTTTAAGAAATTTTGATCAATTTCTTATTTTAAAGCATTATTTTCATAAATTTATATTTTCCAATCTAAACATTATATATAAACTATAAAAAAAGTGTTTTGAAATAAGTAAAATTTTAAAAGGCAGTCTAAATTCTGATTTTCTGATTCAAATATATTAGTTTATTGTATTATATTCGATTCTTTTGATAGCTATATCAGTTTAATTGAATTGATGGAATAGCAAAATACAATAAGATCATCATTATAATAATCAAATTAAGAACAATTAAAGTTTTCTGTTTTTTGTATTTCGAAACTAAATTAAGTATTAATGTTAAACTAGAACTAATTATCAATAATATAAGTTGGTAATGTTGAAATACATTTTATTGAATATGTTTTTAGTTTAGTATTGTATGTTAAAGAAGAAATCTCATTTTGATCCGTAAGTTCTCGGAATTTTATCATAATGAGCATTTCATCCTATGAAATTAATTAGGGTCCTCTTTAAACTTAAATTAAATCTTGTTGAGCCTAATAGATATCTGTATTAGTTAAATTATCAGTATTTTTATATGTAAAAAAGGCTTAAACTTTGTCAAATTCACAATATAATTCATTTTTTCTTAAAATTACATTCTTACAGGGTTTTTATTCTATATTAGCTTCAGTATTCTGAATTAAATATTAAAAGAGGATGATAGTTTAGATAAGTAAGGATTTTTGAGGATTCATTTAAAACAAATATAAAATTTATTAATATTTTAATCACTATGAAACTGATATTTTCATTTATTCTCTCATTAAATATTGATTCTATTGTCACTAGTTTAATGTTTTAATACTTATACCCATTTGAATATTCCACACATTTATAACAATACAAAAAGTCGTATTTATTATTTTGAGAACTGGAGAATTGTTTATTGGTAATAAAAAGTATGGTCTTCTTCTATAATGAACTTCAAACCTTTTTGCATTACAAATGGAACTCTAAATTTATATTAATATATATAGTATATCGAAAATTTATTCTGTTAAGTAAAATTAATATTCATTAGTGATAGTAAACTTTACTTTCAAACTTTTATCTCTAGAAAATGAATTAATTAAAGAGTTAAATTTTGATGTTAAAATAGAATTTGCAACAGCCCCATTAATATTAAAATTTAGGGAATTGTAATTATAAATATAATTGTAAACATTAGAATAGTTTTCTCCAACATATCGATACATAAATATAGCAAGAATATAATTAGAAAATTCAATAAAAATGGAGATATCAATACTAGAAAAATATTTCTTTCTTTAAGTTTATTTAAATAGACCAAATAATTAAATATTTTAGATAACAGTCATAGAAGCTATGAATTATCTACATTTTTTGAATTATTATTAATTGATTTTAATAATATAGATATAATTTTAATACATTCGTCGAGGCAAGATACATGTAATTTACCTTGATTTGTGTCTACTAAAAATAAATTTAGCAAGATTAGAAACGATAATTTATATAAATATAATTTGTCTAAATAATTAGATGATGCAATTCATTTTATTAAGTTTGTCCTTTGTTGAAATAATAAAAGCAGCCTTCACTCTCTAGACTTGTAACACAATTTCTAATGCAACTCTTTGCAAGATGGCAGGGAATTGCGAAGTAAGTGTTTATGGCACTCCAATCACTTGTTCAACTATAACAGATTGTTACAGAGTGAGTGAAGTTTAGACTTGCATATAAAATGCAATAATTGGATGTATACCTTTGAACATTGACTATAAATATGAAAATGTTTGCGTGAAAACAGGAGAAACCAGTGTTCCAAATGGACTATTAAGATTTAGAAGATAAGCAAACATAACCAGATCTTCAGATATCACATTNTTGTATGTTAAAGAAGAAATCTCATTTTGATCCGTAAGTTCTCGGAATTTTATCATAATGAGCATTTCATCCTATGAAATTAATTAGGGTCCTCTTTAAACTTAAATTAAATCTTGTTGAGCCTAATAGATATCTGTATTAGTTAAATTATCAGTATTTTTATATGTAAAAAAGGCTTAAACTTTGTCAAATTCACAATATAATTCATTTTTTCTTAAAATTACATTCTTACAGGGTTTTTATTCTATATTAGCTTCAGTATTCTGAATTAAATATTAAAAGAGGATGATAGTTTAGATAAGTAAGGATTTTTGAGGATTCATTTAAAACAAATATAAAATTTATTAATATTTTAATCACTATGAAACTGATATTTTCATTTATTCTCTCATTAAATATTGATTCTATTGTCACTAGTTTAATGTTTTAATACTTATACCCATTTGAATATTCCACACATTTATAACAATACAAAAAGTCGTATTTATTATTTTGAGAACTGGAGAATTGTTTATTGGTAATAAAAAGTATGGTCTTCTTCTATAATGAACTTCAAACCTTTTTGCATTACAAATGGAACTCTAAATTTATATTAATATATATAGTATATCGAAAATTTATTCTGTTAAGTAAAATTAATATTCATTAGTGATAGTAAACTTTACTTTCAAACTTTTATCTCTAGAAAATGAATTAATTAAAGAGTTAAATTTTGATGTTAAAATAGAATTTGCAACAGCCCCATTAATATTAAAATTTAGGGAATTGTAATTATAAATATAATTGTAAACATTAGAATAGTTTTCTCCAACATATCGATACATAAATATAGCAAGAATATAATTAGAAAATTCAATAAAAATGGAGATATCAATACTAGAAAAATATTTCTTTCTTTAAGTTTATTTAAATAGACCAAATAATTAAATATTTTAGATAACAGTCATAGAAGCTATGAATTATCTACATTTTTTGAATTATTATTAATTGATTTTAATAATATAGATATAATTTTAATACATTCGTCGAGGCAAGATACATGTAATTTACCTTGATTTGTGTCTACTAAAAATAAATTTAGCAAGATTAGAAACGATAATTTATATAAATATAATTTGTCTAAATAATTAGATGATGCAATTCATTTTATTAAGTTTGTCCTTTGTTGAAATAATAAAAGCAGCCTTCACTCTCTAGACTTGTAACACAATTTCTAATGCAACTCTTTGCAAGATGGCAGGGAATTGCGAAGTAAGTGTTTATGGCACTCCAATCACTTGTTCAACTATAACAGATTGTTACAGAGTGAGTGAAGTTTAGACTTGCATATAAAATGCAATAATTGGATGTATACCTTTGAACATTGACTATAAATATGAAAATGTTTGCGTGAAAACAGGAGAAACCAGTGTTCCAAATGGACTATTAAGATTTAGAAGATAAGCAAACATAACCAGATCTTCAGATATCACATTATCTGAGACTCCTGTTTCAGTATTGACAACTACAACTACTCCATAAAAATACACCTATTAATTATTCACATTAGATATTCTTCTAGCATCCCCATCTTAACTGACTGAAATTTTAGATGCATTCAACCATGGGTTAAATCAATTGATTACAGATGCAGTCCAACCAAAGTTTTTGGAGAAAGCTGTGATAGAGACCTTCTAGAACATTAGAGTAAAATTATATTCATAAAATTTAGGATGACGTGACCTATACGTTGGCTACTAGATCTGCTTAACTATCTAAGGCTTGGGATTTGGTGAACATCCTATTTTAAAGATATTAAAACTATAAAGCATACTATGTTCAAAACTACGACTTTATAAATTTTGGATTTTCAGATTTAAATAGATAAAAACTGGTGATAACTACAAAGACCTACGAAATCGAACTGACATGGTCAACTTATGCTAACAATGGTTACATCTACATGATGACATTGGCGCCAGAATAATTTGGAATTATTAGTATAAAACAATTGTCTGATTTAATTTGGATCAAGATAGTTAAAGATGATGGTACAACCCAACTCATTACAGATGTTCCTGTAAATATTAAATACACATGGGTCAATACGGCAACACAGTATACAGCTGTCTACACTTAGACATTCAACAAACTATTTTCAACAGCTTATGCACCTGCTACAAATACAGCAGTTCCTGTAACTTGTGCATATGATATTACTACGATCACAACATGTCCAACTTTTCCTGTTCCAGGCGCTTCATTAGATTAATTAATGATATTCCATCATGATACAATTTAAGACTGCACAACCATTTCATCATCAAATTAACCATACTATAGACTAGCAAAATGTGTTTGAAGAAAATTCATATATACATTAGACCCAATCTTATTTAATATTCTAATAATATAATTATGATATTTGCTATTTTATTAATAGTAAACTAGATTACATCATCTGTTGCTTAGACGTATGTTGGAGAAACACCTTGTTCAGGATTGACAAGTGGAAGTTGTACTTCAAGTGCAATTTCTGGAATTGGATATTGTTATTGGGAATCGTATGTTATAACATAATTCCTCATAATAGAAGTTGCTAAACACTTCCATGTTATATGATTGATGAAGTAGCTGCCTGTAGAGCAGGCTCTGGATTGGCAACTGGAGGTGCATCAACTCTATGTGATTCTTTGGAAACCTTCAGTTTGTAATATGACAATGTTTGTTGCGAAAAATCAGAGGGCAAACTAAATTATGCATTTGTGAGATATGTCAAAACCTCAGATGGCTATTATGATAAGGCCAGCGATGGTACAACAACATTAACATCCCTGACTACATAAAACTCAGCAACCATTTTTTAATTGTACACAGTAAACCCTTGGAAAATCATGCCATCATTTACAAGTTTGCCCACTGCTGCCAATTTCGAATCATAATTAGGCGCCATCTTAACTTAGTATAAGACTTTGGCAACTGCATTACAAACTTAGACAGATTCACATCCATTCTATTTAGAACGCACTGTATACTAATCATTATAAATGCTGAGAGTATATGAATAAATCAATCTTAGGATTTCGTTGTGTTACAAACTACTTCCTAAAACACTATGAGAGATAACTTAATCTAAAAGATATGGTCAGTTGCCCTCATTGCTTTATTTAGAATGGCCATATTTCAACCTAATTATTATTAAACAAATTACTATTTCATCAACTTTGCCATCATTCCTTATTCAAGAAACTCAATCACAATAAATGGACAATTACACAGCACCAAAATTGACTGGTCAAGTTATATTTATACTTCAAATGGATATGTGATGGTATACTCATTCCCACCTGAAATTTTCGGAATTAGAAATGCCTACTCAGATGTCGTCTGTTTAAGACCGATGATTGGAAATCCCCCAGTTTATAATTCTGCAGAAAACACATTTGATACTGGATTCAAACCATTAACAATAACTTGGTCTTGGACTGACACATCAATGAGTGTGGTAGCTGCCAATTTGAAATTATATAAATTTCCAGTTAACAACGCTTTGGAAACTGGAATTCTTTAAGAAGCTGGAGTCACCTTCACTTGTAATTTAGGTGCCAAATATTGTGTCTCATCTAGTATAACATCAATCCCTGCTAATACAGGAGTCAATTATTTTGTATCACCAGGATTAGGAGTTGTTGGAGATAAAACTAAGGTTTAATGTAGATTGTAAGGGAAGACATGGTCAGGCACGAGTTGTTCTTGAATATCATTAATAAAATTAAAATTAATTTAATTGTATTTAATTTAAAAAGTCTAAGCCATTTAACAAATTAGATGGCTTTCATTAATTATATTAAATTATTTATGATTTGTCTTTCTGAAAGGAAAATCTCAATTCATCAGAACAAAGGATTGATTTAATTACCTGAGATATCCAAATCTTCAGAACTTCTAGTATGATTATAATTCATCAATTTAGAGATTGAACAATATAGCTTTGTAATCGGGCAAAAATAAGAAGAAAACAAAACCACAATCGCCAGATAAGGACACATATTACTTGAAATTACCCCAAATAAATAATAAGCCTTAGGATAAATCGGACAACTTTTTCAAATTATCTAAATCCCAATTATAAACATAAAAAATGTAATCTATTATTACTTAAAATAGACTTTATGGGGATACTTCGTTAGACAATATCAAGAAATACAATAAACAAATACAAGATATCTAAAATAAACACAATCATTATATTAATAAAATTGAAGAGCTATATATGATTACCAAATAACACTCATGAAATCATGCTTTACGCTATTATCCTTGATTAATTATTTTATGTTCTTATGATCAATAATTACCTTCTAAGAGTCTAATCTTTGAGTTCTTTTAATTATTGCTAATATTTTCTTTTTATCCTATCCGGTATCTCTATTTCATCAAACAATTATCCCTTCAACTTTATAAGTTACTCTTGGCGATCACTTTACCCTTGCTGTTTCTGTTAACACCTCACAACTGTGCCTTCATTGTACAAAGTAGCACAACGTACTCTTATTTTTTTTCTATTGGAATTACTATAAATTGGAGTGAATCTCTAAGTTATTTTGCCTGGTGAAGAGTTATATTGAAACTTATTCTCTAATTTCTTGTTCGACTTTTTTATCTCCTCCACTCCAAATATCAAGTTCCTATTTCCTGACAACACTGCTGAAGCTGTCTACAACCTCTCCTGTCTGCTCAAAGTCTAAGTTCTCATAACGTTATTTATGTAATTCTCAATTCCGCAGTGAGGATTCTTTTAAATAATCGCATAAAAGTTCTACTTTATTCATATTATTACTGAATTTGAAATCTTATAACAATAAGCCTGTTCTTTGCACCTCGCTGTATATTGTCTACTCGTGTTCATCAAACAATCCAAATCTCCAAATAGTTCAGGCTTCCCTATCGTACTGATCGGCATCGATTTGTGTTTGTTCTGAATATCAAACTATTTACTCAACTCAAATTCTCCTTCCTAAATTATAACTATCGATTACTCTTATCATGTAAACGTAATCCGCTTGTTCTCCTTCTCTATAAATTATCTGATTCTTTCGGAAATACACCAAAGTAAATAAATTTATAAACGACGCAATCGTTCTTTTGGACATCCTCTAAAAAATTTAGGATTCCTTCATAAATTCGATAAGATTGTTTCTCTCCTTGAATTTTGCCTTCTGTAGAGCTTCCTAAAAGTTCTATCTACTGATTATCAGAAACTTTGATTTCTCAACTGTTTGGACATCTTAAACGTAGGCCATTTAATTTAAGGCCTCAATTCCGAAGCATAATTCGTTGATATTGATTTTTCCTTATATCAAACCATAAAATAGATCTCCGTATTCTCCATTCTATATCACAATAGTATTTTAATCTATTTCAACGTATTTGATATAAGGAATATATTCTGATAATAAATTTGTTTCTGCACTTTAGTTGAGACTAGTAATGAATGGGTGTCTTTAGTAGAAATGCGAGAACAACAAATTGTCATCCATTGATATTTAACCTGATCGTTATTTTTCCAGTATTTATTGAGTTAACTTGATTTTACTATATAAATTACAAATAGTATATTGAGATCCTTATTAGATTATGACTTATTCCTATTCGTAACATATTGGCATTCCGATTACTAATTTTACATATTTTATAATATAAATTTTATAATTGACATCGAAAATCTAAAATGCTACATCTATTATGGATAACTTTTCAAAAATACAATCAAAAAATATTACATTTCTATAAAATGGATTATTTGCTGTAAGATTTCCTATTGATTGAAATGATGTTTTATACATCAAATGAAAGTATAATCAATGATATTATAAAGTATTTACTTAAGATATTTTAATAAAAAGAATATTGGAATAACTTAAGTTTAGTTTTTAAGTGTTATAATTAACAGGAGATATTTGTTATTATTTAATATTCCAAAATATACAATAAATACATGAATGTGAATATTATTTTATTTTGTTAAATCACTAAATTTTATTAAATCATATAAAATTAAGGTTATAGTCAAACAATACTCTCTTTACAATATTTCAATTTATTTTCTTAAATTTAGTGTTCCAATTGATATCTAATAAATATATATAATTTTATCGTCCTAGTCTTTAGATTAAATGGCTAATGATGATGATTAATTGATTTCTCAAACATTCTTTAATTTAATTTATTTATATCAAATATCTAAATATATGGGAAGTAATAATTTATTTATAAGGAATCTAGACTCATGCTTTGAAAAAAGACCTGTGGTGCCAAAAGAGAAGAGAACTTATAAGGAATTAGTAATTGAGGCATTGTAAAGTGGACCTTTAATTTTAGCTTAAACGGAATGCATAAGTAATTCAGATAATTTTATGTTTAGTAAATATTGATATAGACCCTCAACATTCCAAATTAAATGAGATGATTAAATAAGTGTAATATAAATAAGAATTGTTAGATTATTGGAAGAAAAAGAAAAAGAATCAAATTGTGATGACTTAAGCGAAATGAGTGAAAAAGGCGAAGATAACCTTGATTTAGAACTTGGAGTGTGGAAGGTATAGAAGCTTAGAAAGAGACTGTTCCGACATACAAATTATATTGCTCATCTAAAAATAGACACAGAGGTAACTTATATAGTTTTAAAATAGATTACTCAAGAGAACATGATTAAATTATACTAAGAATTGTATTATATTGACATTCAATCGTTTATAGATTTTCAATCCTTGCTTAAAAAAATATTCAATATGTAGTAATGCCTTAGATGTGGATGGATGATCACTAATATCGAGTAACTATGAGAGAGAATTCAGATGCCTTATTTGATTAATTGTTCACATGGAGAAACTAAGACTAAAAATATAGAGCCACATTTATAGTATTCCACACAGAAACAGCTTAAGTAATATGAAATTTACAAAAGGCAATTTAAATAGTGGATTCGTTTTTAATGACTTATAATTAATATAATCCAGTCATTCTTGAAAATCATTCAGCTTAATCAAATCACCTAAATGATGAAGACATTGAGGAAGATTAGAAAATGCTTCTATGAAATTGAATTTATCAATCATTAAATAATAATCAATTTAAAAAAACATCTCTTGTTATCATATATCCTGTTGAATTAATAATATTATTATCATAAATTTAATTAATTGGGAATTTCAGATTCCAGACTATACAAAAAGAAGTAAATCTATTTATTCAATCTCCTTTATTTAAAATTGTATTTTACTCAAATTATAGAATAATATGATATAAATGCTTACATTTTGATTAATCAAATTCAACATTTATAATAAATATTTGACATGAGAACAGATGGTGAAGATATTTGAATCAGCTCTATATATGAGAGTGAATTCAAGAGCAATCAGTAAGTAATTTGAATAAAGTTCAGTTTTATATATTTATATTTCAAGATATACTTCATATATAGTCAAGATAAGTTTTGAAATATATTAAGGATGATTTTTTGCCATCAATAAAATAATCTATCAGATTGAATTTTATTCATAATATTAATATCCAACCAAAATGCCTTGTTAAAATTTTTGGATTGTAAACTTTAAGGACTTTTAGAATAATTTTATAATAATGGACTTTTATAAATCTGCTATTGTTTTCCACAAATTACTATACCTCTATACTTAACATTTAATATCATAAGTAAATTCAGTAGATGGTGACAAGAAGAATGTAAGATAAATTGTTATATACACTACTTTTAAGAACTTAGAGTTACCAAGATTTGTAAAGATAAATAAAGTGCTTAGCTTCCCATTTTGGCTAGGATGATAAATAAGAATCAATGCTCCCCTTTCTATACAAGATGCTATTCACAATTACATAATCAAATTTTAATTGTTTAATGAATTAAACAATTGAAAGTAGAATCAATTTAGTGTATTGTTTAAATCTTCGAAATTGATAGAGTATTTCAATGAGCACAAAACATAGATGATGAATCGGATAGCAAGTTATGGAGTCAGAAAGTACCTACAGAATTTATGGAAACGAAAAAGAAGGTGGAGCAGAAGAATATTTTCGTTGCCATTTTATATGTGGTGGAAATTAAATTATTCTTGTTGCAATTAAGCAATAAAATAAATTGAGTATGATTATGATATTTGATAAAGATATTTCTTATTATTCAAATTTGATATGATTGTATAAAACATATTATTAGGTCACCTATTAAATAATTAGTATTTATGTTGATGTTAAGAGAATGCGAGAATGCAAAGATGACGGTGTATTTTTAATTAATTAACTCCAATTTTTCGTTTGAATGTAAATAACTTTATATGAAAAATATTACGTATGATTTGATAAAATTAAAGCAATTGCTCAAAATCAGGATTCAAAAATAAATTTAATAGCGATGAATCCTCTGCAATAGCTTTACCTCTAGGCAATCATCAAGCATTAGGAGCAAGAGAAGGTGAAGTAAGAAGAACAAGTCTCAAAATAAAGTCAAGAGGTACTTATCCTAGTAATAATTAGATTCTGCAACAGCAGCAACTCCTTTCGTTAATGTCATACACTCCCAACAACCTTGTGGAAAAGTAATTATCTATATTAACATTTTAGAAAGGCTTGGTCTCTAATTGATATTCAAAATAGAGTTACCTAATACTTTTAATAGTAAGTGTTGAGAAAGTAAGTTGTAACCATCACAAATTGCATTGAATACCACTTGCCCTATTTTCTGACAGTGTTGGCCAATTTGATCATCCACGGATTGGATAAAATATAGGGAGAAATAGAATAGATCTCCTTACTTAAGACTTAATACATAGCCTAGCCAACCAGAATTACAATGAGTAGTTCCTTATTTTAAACACTGTCCTTATTATTGAGATCTTAACTTGTATCATTTGATAAAGGTAATCTGCTAATTTCTATACATTTTTAGGTACACAATACCTTTCCAAATTCCTAGTATTCAGAGATGACTTTTCTGATATATTCTTCAATACTCTCTACCAGTATTCGATATCATCCAATTAACAAGTGAGTCAATAATTGAGTTTCACTTAACTCAATTCAATGATCAAGAAGATGCCTGAAGATGTATGGGGAACCTTCATTTTCAAGATGCTTAGTTAACAACAATAGAAGTTGAATAAGGATTAATTCTTAGTCCAATTCAATCAATACACAGTCAACATGAACAACTTCTTCAAAAAGTCCAATCTGATTTTTGATGTTGTCGAAAATTCAGTCAAACAAACTGCATAGATGCACAACGATTCAATCTTCTAAGAAGTATTACATCTTTTCTATCATAGTATCTCTTAATTATGGGAAGTTTCAAAGCTACTACACAAGACTTTCTTAAAAAGGCTACTAGTGTCTATTTTGAAGATCAGAATGACGAGATCGATTTAATTGAATTCAATATCAGAACCCAAAAAATCCACAAACAGATGAATTGTTCTCTCCTATACATTCTACCGATGTTATTGCAAATTGAGAGTCACATGATTGATATGATCCAATAGGATAGATATAATGATAATTCCCAAGCCAAAAATAGTTCCAATTACTATTTGAAGATGATTGAGAAATTGAAGAATAAATGTGTCTACAATGGAGAAGAAGAATGCAATTGTAAAAAGTGCTAATGCATCAGAAGGAATAGGAATTCAGCTAAGGAATCTTAAAGGAAGAAAAGAGAAGCTCTTGACAAGATAGGTCCACTCCAGGATGCCTATGAAGAATTACAGAAGAAAGTATCTCTTAAATTCTATCATTAGGTCAAAGTGATTGAAAATGAAAATGAGACTCTAAGATAACTATTGACAGAGGTGTTTAAACATCCCACTGTCTCAGTGTTATCACCAGAATTCATTGAACCATTGACAAAGGTTATTTAAGATACAGATCCTGTACAACATTCAAGTTCATATGAATGTTGACTAAATAACATTGTCCACCTATTAAGTAACAAATTTGAATATCTATGTGTATGATTATATGTGGATATTTAATAAACATAATTCAAGTTTTCTTTGAGATCTCCTAGAAGATACCAAGATATATATTAAAATGCCAAATATATATATTTAATAATATAAAATCCATCAACTACCAGAAGTCTTCCTACAAGTTACACAGATACTTACTTCTCTAACCGTATTGTTAAACTCTTGAAAGTAGTATAAATTTACTCGAATTTATCAGATACCAAATCTAACTACCTGACCAGCTCCTCAGGTTTCGGACACTCCCTGAATTTGATGGTCTTTATTAATGCAACAGTGAATTCCCTAAGATATTTTCGATTGAAACTTGGCTAACACGTGTGCTGCATCAATTTCAATGTTTGAATCCCCCAAACAAATTAGATTGGTGAATACATCATTTTCATACTTAGATCTTATATCTTTAAAGGCTTCTATCTTCCATTTACCACAATCCCCTGGGAACATTTCTTCATATCCATGTCTAGCTGAGATAACTACTATTTTCTTATCAAAGATCACTTAAAACACCTTGTTCATATACCTACTTAAATTATAATATCTACAATTTGCTACTGTATTCAACCCAACCCTAAGCAGCATTTGTAATTATAAATACATCCCCAACTTAAGACGCTTTTTCTAACAATCTACTCTTGATATGTTTATTCAAATTACAGCGCTTTCATTCAATGCAGTCAACTATTCTAAGACATCTATTGGTAATTCAACGAATCCATATCCTCCCAAAAAGGTTGTGCACAATAATGTGTCATCCCAATCAAATATTGTCACTAAATCTTTTAAAAAGTATTACAAGTTTGGTGTTTCTTTTATTATTACATCAATTTATTATTCATGAGTTTCTAGATGTAGTTATTACGAACATCTTCATTCGTTCTAATCACGTAGTTTAATTAAAATTCCTTAGTTGAATTCTCCTTCTCTTAAACCTGCTTTATTCCCAATCTTTGTAAATAATTCTACCTCCACTATCTCCCAGAAAGGGAATTGATTATATTGTTTTCAATCCAAGCTTGAGGATTCTCCATCTTATCCTGCTCAACCTTCTCCATTACAGTCAAACTCTAATTCATGTTGTTAATTAATTAATTAATTAATTTATAATAGACAATGAATAAACAAAATATCATTATTAACGAAAGTGTGATGAGGCAGCTGGTTGAAGCTGGTTACACTAAAGAATAAAGTGTTTTGGCTATATAGGCAACCAATTTATTCGGTGATTGTGAAAACCTAAATCAATACTTATCCATTGCCAAATCCAATTATCAAGAACTATATTAAATGGTTCATGCTTAAGATCAGACTAATTAGTCTTTTACCAGATCTTAATAACAATAAACTGCACCCACGTATTACAATGTAATCCTTTCTACTATAATCAGATGGAAAATTCTACCAAAAGGAAAACTAGAATTCCTTCTATTCCAGTGGGTTTAGTCAATATTGGTAATTTATGCTACTTCAATTCACTTCTATAATTGATGTTAAACAATCCTATTTTTGTTAAAACAATATTCGATTATAAAGTACAATATAGTAATGATGTAAAGCTTATTTTTCTATTAGAAATTTGATAACTTTTTGAGTACACTTTAAAAACTGTTTGCAAATTTACTCATTTCAAATTCAATCTATTATGATGCAAGTGAAGTAATTTAATTTATGTGGTGGGATTCAAAAGATATAAAATTGGTAGGGCATTAGTAAGATTTCAGAGAACTATGCGAACTATTCCTTTCAAAAGTAGATCAATCCTTACAGGAGAAGGAGCAACCATCACCTCAAAATCAATTCAATCTCAACGTTAATGATTTCTTCAAGAGTCAAATATTAAAATAATAATTTGTATTGACTAATGAGAGAGATACATATCAAATCTTCATCCTTGCCAATCTCAGCTATGGTAATATATACAATACTTTATATCATGAATATGGATAACAGAAGTTAACTACCATTCCAGAAAACCTGTTCTTTTAAATTTCAAGATATTCCTACAATAGAAATACTTAAAATATGATCAAATCTACTCAGGATTTTAATCTCCACTCAGAAATCTATGTTGATTTTATAATGCAAGATATCCATTAGGTACATAACATATTTCAACGTTTTAATGGAACTATAAATGGCAGTCAATAAATAAATCTAGATTCTTAAAAAGGTATCTATATGTTATAATTTCCTAGTCTCAAAATATATAGCCTCATTTAACGACATTATTGAATATTATTCATTAATTTAAAATGAGATTATGGTTTAGTAATTGACATTAGATTAAGACATATTAAAAATATAATAACAGTCATCTGAATATTAGAATAGGAGAGGAGACTATTAATGGTTAAATCAACAATTATCGTAATTTTGCTTTAAAAAATACTATCTACATAGTATTGTTATTCATTTAGGAAATGCAAATCAGGGTCATTATTTTATCTATATTTATAACTTTTCAAAAAAGTAATGGTTTTAATATAATGATTCTATTGTAGAAACGATATCTGAAAGTGAAGTCATGAGACTATCCAAAAATAATGCCTATATAGTTACTTATGTTAGTGAATAGCAAAGATAACTTATAAGGCAATAGGAAGATATTGTTGAGCTCATTTAATAAAACGATTTATCAAATGAGTTATATGAAAATCTAGAACTCTTATAAATGATACCGCAAAATTTATTTAAGGAGATTTACTAACAAAATTTGAATCTCACAATTTGAATAAACATTTATTATATTAATATTTAACAGAAATACTAAAGAGCTCATCATCCTTCTACATGTTCATGAGTTTCATCTTGGTCGATTTGCTAATTTTACTACTTTTTCTGATTTGGTCTTTTTTGGTTATCTCTCTTTTCAATTTATTTGACTGCACTATAATCAACTGTAGTAGGGTCAACAGCAATTGAAATTCCTAACAATAAATAAATCAAATACCTTAATTTTATAAATATTTAACTTTATCCTCATAATTAGTTATGTCAAACAATTCTTTAAAATTGACGGTGATGACTTATTTAGATAGAAGGGCGAATAACTTCTTTTGTAGTAAGCCGCTTCCAGTTAATGTAATTTTGTCGTAATTTAAGTTATATCCAGTTAAGATCAGGATTGATTATTAACTAAATTTAAATAGAGGTAATACGTTTAGGGTAGATAAAGCTCAATTTGAACTCTATCCATTTAATAATTGGCTTCTACTTCAACTCCCACTGCTTGTAACAGCTTTTGGATGTACTCAACTGTATATTGATTTTTCTTTTGAGTATTTGCGATTTTCTCCTCCTTGACTAGGGCTTCATGAATTTAGGTGGCTTTTGATTCTGGATGTGTTCTTTTCAATATTTCATAGATTGTATTAATTCTATAGGTCTCTCTGGCTTTTAAAGTTTCCAAAGTATTTGCTATCTTCTCTATTTCTTCAAAGGGTTGATCAGCCAAAACATAATAATGAAGCAATTTCAAACTTGATTGACTATTAAGATTTGATCTATCAGCCATAGATTTAATTAAATTGACAACATCTGGTTCAGTAATACCTAATTAAATTAGAGATTCTAAAATATCACCAAAGTAAGTCTTATAGAATTAAGGAGCTTTACTGATTTTTTCAAGTGTTTTCAAGAATACATCGACTTACTTAAGTTTGCCATTTGCTAAAATACTGAGAACTTGGACTCTCAATTCATTAAAGGCACCACTGAATTACAAGCCATATTATTCTAATAAAATATTGTAGATCATCTGATTAGCAACATTATTCTTTTAAAACTTTTCTATAATCTTAATTAATTTAGGGAGTGCTATTTTAGTACCAACTTAAGGGAAATTATAAGCTAATTCCTTTATGAGGGTGGGTTCTTTGGCATTCATAACCAAATCGAAATATTATCTTTGTGTCAACTTTGATGCATAAGCCTTGATTTGACTTTTGATTTTGTCAGTCTCATTTTGTGTTAATTTAAATAAAGTAATTACTTCTTAAATCTATTTTATTTTCATTTCTTCAGCATCAAGTTGACAATCAGCTTTAATTTTGTCTTTTAATTAAATTACATTCTCTGGAGGATTATCTAATTGTAGTGCAATACCACATAACTAAACTTTTAAGTAATAGTATGATTTTTCATTATTCAATTAGATGACAGCATCTTCAGGGGTCATAATACCCTAGTTGATCATGATTTAAACAAAAGCTGAATCTGGATATGGAGAAGTTGGATTAGCTGCTCTGAATTATTCAGAAACTCTCTTAACTAACTAAATAACTTATCTACTGCTGTAACCGGCACTTTCAAATCTTTCAACAAAGCTGACTAAAGCATTTAATCTAGCACTTGGTTAATTTAAAAATGCAAGTTATAAAACTTAACATACCCATTAGATTTGATCGCTTCTTACTAACCCATTAAGACTTTAGACATTCAAAGTTAAATAATCAACAAACCTGAAAATTGGGATATTTTTTGGATCTTTTTGTAACAATTACAAAATTATTGATAATCTATCAGAATCGAAATCACTCATGTCTCCAATAACTTTACTTAATATTAATTTAGCTTGTAATTTGTCTTCCGATTAATCATTTAGTTATAACAAAGCTTATTTACATCTATGATTAATGCAAGAATTGAGTAATTCCTTCAACACTTTGAAGATGTCAGTCTTTTTTTCTTTGACATTTTCAATGATTTGCATGAATGCCTCCTCTTGTACTTAAGACTTGATTTGAGAATTGATGTTGATGTCAAGGATGGTTTTCAATAGAGAATGTGGGTTTGATTAGATAACTGATTTGCAAATGGCCATGAACTTTTCTTCGTGTTCTTATGCGTCTCTATGAGCATAGATCAAATAATGTAAAGCATTGTAGGTGTTGATTCTCTTTGATTCTTAAATCTAAACGTATTAGTTAACGTATTCTTTCAAATTGATTCCGTTAATGTATAAATAATTGAGGATTTTAAGATTGCTCTCTCCACTGTCTTTCAAAACTACTGCCAAATCTTCAAATTTCTTATATCTCAACAAATTAGCACACAATTAGCTTATGAGTGGAGTTTCTACTTCCTTCTTGGATATTCTCTAGGTCAATTCTCCAACGATCTTTTTGATCAAATCTGAAGGGTATTTTGAACCATGAGAGGTGGAAATCCTTTCAATGAGAAGTATTAAGAATTTTGATGATAAATTATTTGGATTCTACTCAATAGTTGTTACAATCATGTCCTTCAATTCTTTAATAAGATCTTGGTCAAAGTATCTTGGTAAACTTGTATATGCCTTAAAAATATTAAGGACTGAGTCTTCCTATAATAATTCAATCTTTTATAGCAATAGGTCCTTCACTTACTTGATTAAATGGGGAAGTGAATACTTTGGTGCAATATTTTGAAATTGTATTTCAGCAAGACTTTTGAAGAGTAAGGATTTCTAAATATAAATTACATGTTACCTATTCAACGTCTAATTCCTCTAAGAGACCTTCAACCACTTTGACACCGTTGTTAAGGATTTAAGTGTCATATTTTGAGAGTGAGCAATTGTTTACCTTAACCACAAGGGAACTGAAGAGTTGGATGATTAAGAATGGGGAAAGCTATTTAGTAGTAAGGAGTTATTCAGAGATTGATTTTGCCAATTGGTCATTTGAATGATTAAGGAGGGATAAGTCGAAATAGACATTACACATATTTCTAAATGAGAACATTTGATTCTCTGACATCTATTGAATTCTCTAGAATAATTTGTTTTAAGACTATTATTGGAAGTTAGTAGGTATTTTATTTTATCTAAATTTCCTCAGCCAAAACAAGACATCGATTACATCTACATTAATGAATATTCAAGTATATATACCGTATTCAGTTAATTAATCCACTATATCATTCAACTTCCCAGTTAATTCGGAATAGTTGTTATCGTGACCCAATTATCTACTATATCTACCCAACATTCTCAAAGATAGCACTACATGCTCTTGCTTAAACAAATCTTTGTTTTGTTAGAAGATTTGTAAGATAGATGAAGGACTATCAGCACTGCTTAATTTCTATATCAATGACTCGTAAGTAGCAAATCCAAATCTAATGATTCTATTCATCCAGAATTAAAAAATTAATTTTTTTATTCAAATATCAAATTTGGTATTTTATTAATAGCTCAGACTCTTTTTATATAATCACTGGTGGCTATTCTGATATTGGGATCCTAGATAATTCGCATTACTAATAACATATAAAGAGATTATCATCAATCTCTCCATATCCTTCAATTTTAACTAATTTCTTGTTCCTCTTGCATTACAGTTACAAGTTATCGATTTCCGATTACCAACTTATATGAATCACCTCCTCGCTGATATTTTACCCAAAATTAGGTTTACACTTAACTATCATATTGTAATTACTACTTCTATTTATAAGATCTACTTATTATTAACCAACTAGTCTAATTATTTCTATAATTTTTGATTTGTCAATTGCATCTCAATGCAGTTATTTATCAATTCCTACTGTTTTTCCTTATAAATTTTTGATTCTTCAAGGAATTTTCTATTATAAAATTTAAAGTATTACCTTAAATTATCGTATTCCTGATCTCTCTGATTTAGTTGTTATTGTAAATTACAAACCTGTTTTTCAAGGAATTCCTTTTGGTTTTTGAGCTCCTTATTACTTTCAATTGCCACTTTATATTCTTCCTTCAATTTATTCAAATCAGACTTTAAAAAGGCATTTTCAATCTAATATTAATTTTGTTATGAAACAGTGCTATTTGGATTTTGAAAAACCTAACTCTAATTGTTATTCATTTAATTTATTAATAAAATGGAAGATAACGCATTTAATAAACTAGTGGAGGTATTACAATTAAAAATTTAGCATATTTAATCTTAATTAACTAAATTTCATGACATTAATGATCTATTAGATCAAGAGAATTAGGATGTCAGCAATTCCAGTATTGGTCAAGACATCAATGACATGCAAGATCAAATATAAACTCTTATAAAATAAATTCAAAACAGTCTCCAAATACTTGATAACAACACTGGACATCTTGCAGGTCGATAGTAAAAGTACTATTCGCCTAAAGTTATAATAGAAACAAATAAATTAAGTAATTCTATAAAAAAGAAATCGATAAATTTTCTCAAGCATCTAGGCTATTGGAACAGCAATTACAACAGAAGAGAAAGACAATGGCAACTAATCTATAATAAAAATAAAATGATCCTAAACCAAAACCTATTGATGATTTGTAAGAGTAATTGATGCAAAATCAATATGATATAGAAAATTAAATAATAAGAGAAAAAAATGAAGAACTTCAAAGGATAGAATTAAAGTATTCATTTAATTAGAAACATAGAGTCTAAATTGTCAATAATATATTACAAGATCTGGCATTTCAAGTCGATTTAGCAAATAAACCTCTTGATCTAGTTGCTGAAAATCAAGTGACAGCAATAAATAATATAGGTGCGGCAAAGAGGGAATTAGTCAAAGCTGAAGACTCTTAAAAGTCAGCAAATAAGAAATGGATAATAATAGCAACTTTGATTGCTATTCTTGTAGGAGTTTTGATTATAATTTTAATTTTAAATTGGAATTGATATCAAAACATTGTTAAGAAGTTAAGAAAATATATATTTAAAACAAAAATGAGAATCTTAATTTAAGTATTATATTTATTATAATCATCAATTACGATACCTAATAGTTTGTACATACTTTATTTTAGTATACGGTTTATTAGTGTTGATTTTCATGGCTGGCTTATTAGCTAACTAAATTTATTATTATTGTTATTCCTCAGGAATTTTTTTATCCTTTTATTTTGAAGATTCCTATATTATTTAAAAGGCTTGTTCAATGGTTTTCAAGTTCTTCCTCTCTTTACTTGGATTGGGCAGTTCAAATTTATTTTTGGGTGACATGCCGTTGATATTGACTTCCAATTCATTCATTATAGATTCTCGTTTTAATGTATGTCCTTTAGGTCTTTTCTAAATTTCTTAGATTGGCTAAACATATTCAACAGTGTCTTCCTCCTGTTGTTGTGATTATATTAAGGATGCTTACTAATTCTCATTATCTTAATTTTCTTAATAGTCAATAGGCTATTCGATTTATTCAATTGATAATTCATTGCTATTCTGACCTTCATCATCATTTAAAAGAAATGGGTGATTTTTAATCTACTCAATATTGATTCTCTAATCCTCTTATACTAGGATTTTGCTAATGAGATCCTTGGCATCTTTATGCAATGAATTAGGAATCGTATATTAACAAAGTTTAATTTTGTCATACAAAGTCTGAAATGTAGTTTATAAGATATTACTTATGTATTCTCTTCATCAAAAGGCAAGTAACCACATAGCATAGCATACAGAATAACGCCGCAACTCCAAATGTCAGTTTTTGTACCATCATAATTTTTGCCTTCCAACATTTCAGGAGCAGCATAACAAGGACTCCCGCAAGCTGTTACCAATAGCTATCCTTTTGTGATTTCCATTGAGAGACCAAAATCTATTAAACATATATCTCCATTATCTCTCATTAAAATGTTTTCTGGCTTAAGGTCCCTATGAANTTCTATAAAAAAGAAATCGATAAATTTTCTCAAGCATCTAGGCTATTGGAACAGCAATTACAACAGAAGAGAAAGACAATGGCAACTAATCTATAATAAAAATAAAATGATCCTAAACCAAAACCTATTGATGATTTGTAAGAGTAATTGATGCAAAATCAATATGATATAGAAAATTAAATAATAAGAGAAAAAAATGAAGAACTTCAAAGGATAGAATTAAAGTATTCATTTAATTAGAAACATAGAGTCTAAATTGTCAATAATATATTACAAGATCTGGCATTTCAAGTCGATTTAGCAAATAAACCTCTTGATCTAGTTGCTGAAAATCAAGTGACAGCAATAAATAATATAGGTGCGGCAAAGAGGGAATTAGTCAAAGCTGAAGACTCTTAAAAGTCAGCAAATAAGAAATGGATAATAATAGCAACTTTGATTGCTATTCTTGTAGGAGTTTTGATTATAATTTTAATTTTAAATTGGAATTGATATCAAAACATTGTTAAGAAGTTAAGAAAATATATATTTAAAACAAAAATGAGAATCTTAATTTAAGTATTATATTTATTATAATCATCAATTACGATACCTAATAGTTTGTACATACTTTATTTTAGTATACGGTTTATTAGTGTTGATTTTCATGGCTGGCTTATTAGCTAACTAAATTTATTATTATTGTTATTCCTCAGGAATTTTTTTATCCTTTTATTTTGAAGATTCCTATATTATTTAAAAGGCTTGTTCAATGGTTTTCAAGTTCTTCCTCTCTTTACTTGGATTGGGCAGTTCAAATTTATTTTTGGGTGACATGCCGTTGATATTGACTTCCAATTCATTCATTATAGATTCTCGTTTTAATGTATGTCCTTTAGGTCTTTTCTAAATTTCTTAGATTGGCTAAACATATTCAACAGTGTCTTCCTCCTGTTGTTGTGATTATATTAAGGATGCTTACTAATTCTCATTATCTTAATTTTCTTAATAGTCAATAGGCTATTCGATTTATTCAATTGATAATTCATTGCTATTCTGACCTTCATCATCATTTAAAAGAAATGGGTGATTTTTAATCTACTCAATATTGATTCTCTAATCCTCTTATACTAGGATTTTGCTAATGAGATCCTTGGCATCTTTATGCAATGAATTAGGAATCGTATATTAACAAAGTTTAATTTTGTCATACAAAGTCTGAAATGTAGTTTATAAGATATTACTTATGTATTCTCTTCATCAAAAGGCAAGTAACCACATAGCATAGCATACAGAATAACGCCGCAACTCCAAATGTCAGTTTTTGTACCATCATAATTTTTGCCTTCCAACATTTCAGGAGCAGCATAACAAGGACTCCCGCAAGCTGTTACCAATAGCTATCCTTTTGTGATTTCCATTGAGAGACCAAAATCTATTAAACATATATCTCCATTATCTCTCATTAAAATGTTTTCTGGCTTAAGGTCCCTATGAATGATACCCAAACCATGCAAATATTCAATGGCATTTACCAGTTAACTAATAATATGTCTTGCCTCTCCATTTGTAAGTCTACACTATTATCTAATTTACCTTTCTTATTCCACAATATAATCAAACAATTCCCCACCGGAAACGTACTCAGTTATCAAATATATGGACTCTTCATCCTCTACAATCTATACTCTAAGCAGGATTTCTTACTTCCTTCATCTTAACTATGTTGGCATGATTGACCTTATTTAGTAATTCGATTTCCTTATTGACTCTAAATTTGTCTCGATCTGTCTTAAGTGATTCCTTCTGAAGTACTTTAATGGCCACCTGAGGCATTATTGCTATTTGTTTACTTATTCATCATTGCAAGCCCCAATATAGACCTATGCAAAAGTGCCTTCTCCAATTTTCTAACCAAATTGATATTTTAACATGCTATAAGAATCAGGCCTTAATACTATTAATGTTCAGTTCTCAAAGCCCTTTCAACTTGTAAATTGCTATATTAGGAAACAGCCACTAGCATACATATATGAGGTAGTGTCTAAAGTGGTTTCAACCTAACTAGTCATTCATTCTATTTGAGTAATTTTGTATCAATCCTGAATCATGGAAAGCTTGCCTAATTGGACTTCAAACCTAGAGTAATAGTAGGATATGCAATCCTATAATTGGGTTAATCTAGTTTTAAGATTAAGGAAGGAAAGGAGGCAGATTTGATTGTGATTTAAGTGAATTTATACAAAAATAGGAATTAATTCGGAAGTATGAATGGGAATATTGCAAATCATGGGATAATGGAAAAACCATTACTATTCCTGAATATAATCGAATTTTTAGAGAGATGATTTAGTTTCTAAATTCAGAATGATTAGTTTATTAATAAAGATTGAATAAATAAGGGATTCTACAGTTGGGAGGCTGGTATCAATCTCACAGAATTATGACTTTTGCTTGTACAATACAAAAAGAGGTTTTGTATGGGAAATATAACAATATATTTCATATTATTTGTGCATATAAATAATTATATAATCTAATAGAATTAATTGATAGGTCAAATACAACTTTTAAATACTGGGGTTTCAACAATTATGTAGCAGCTCATCTGTTAATTTGATTAAAAATATCCAAGATTATTCACAAATACCATATAAAAATGAAAATTCAACTAGGATATACTCTTCTGAGTTGTATCTTCAGTTGAAAATCACAATTTCAAATTTTAGACTTGTTAACGAATTTGAAGAATCCAGTTATCAATATGCCTATTTCACTAATATACCACTTTTATAATCGCGAATAATATCTAGAATAAAATTTAGATAGTTTTTATTTATAATTGATAATATGTCATTAATCTTTATTTTTCCTATTGATATGCATTTAGATTTTTAGTTTATAAGTCATACTCATAAAATATTGCTTATTTATTTTAATATGTCAACTCAATAAAATCAAGAGCAATTACCAAAACAATAATAATAACAAAAACAATAACAAAAACAATAACAAAGATAATAACAATAACAATAACCATAACCATAAAAACAAAAATAACAACCAAAATACAAAATATGTGTCATTTGCAAAAGATTTTCATAATCTTAATGTGGAGATTGTCTCGGGTGGGGAGTTTTGTGGTTAATCTTTTCAATTTCAGATGTAGTATCAACAATTCAATGGGAATTAGGCATCCTGGGAATTTTAGGGGCTATATTTTGGTTTATCCTTACAATGATTTTTTGTGTTGCATCTTGTAATCTAAGAGAAATTTCATCGCAAACTTAGAACATAGAGATCCTATCATGAAATAACTTCAGGCCATGCGAATGTTTGAATTAAAAATAATATGCATAAAAATTCTTTTTAATTCAAAAAATTCTATGTAAATTCTATAATTTAATTAATTGTAAATTTTTATTTAAAATATCACTATTATTAAAAAATGTGTAATTAATTTATTGTTACAAAATGATTCTGGTAAAACAAAGATAGATCAAAAAAAATCGATTAGAATGTATTCCAAAATAAAATAATTAATAATATAATTAATAATTAATAATTAGAATTATTGAGAAATATCTATGAACTACGATGTTAGGACTATTGGTGATTATGAAGTGCATATTACTAAATGTATTGGGTAAGGAAGTTATGGAAAGGTCTATGATGGAAGAATAATCAGTTAAAATAGAATAATATGTGTCAAGGTATTGAAAATGAAATGAGAGTAGGTTTTACATTTGACAGAAGAGAAAAGATAAATGTTTCTAAGAGAAGTCGAAATTCTTGAGGAAATTAAGAAGGTTACTCATCCTAATATTGTCAAAATTTATCATTTAGCAGAGTAGAATTAAAAAATATATATTTTCATGGAAAAGTGTAAAGAGAACCTTGAACAATAAATTCAGAAACAGAAAAAGTAGAATTAATCATTTTCAGTTGATTAAGTGCTCTTTATTGCAAAATAAATCTGCAGAGGATATAATGAATTAAGAAAGAAAAATATAATCCACAGAGATATAAAGCCTGAAAATATTTTATTAGGAGAGGATGGATAATATAAAGTATTTTCTTTTTAAACTTANCTCTTCTGAGTTGTATCTTCAGTTGAAAATCACAATTTCAAATTTTAGACTTGTTAACGAATTTGAAGAATCCAGTTATCAATATGCCTATTTCACTAATATACCACTTTTATAATCGCGAATAATATCTAGAATAAAATTTAGATAGTTTTTATTTATAATTGATAATATGTCATTAATCTTTATTTTTCCTATTGATATGCATTTAGATTTTTAGTTTATAAGTCATACTCATAAAATATTGCTTATTTATTTTAATATGTCAACTCAATAAAATCAAGAGCAATTACCAAAACAATAATAATAACAAAAACAATAACAAAAACAATAACAAAGATAATAACAATAACAATAACCATAACCATAAAAACAAAAATAACAACCAAAATACAAAATATGTGTCATTTGCAAAAGATTTTCATAATCTTAATGTGGAGATTGTCTCGGGTGGGGAGTTTTGTGGTTAATCTTTTCAATTTCAGATGTAGTATCAACAATTCAATGGGAATTAGGCATCCTGGGAATTTTAGGGGCTATATTTTGGTTTATCCTTACAATGATTTTTTGTGTTGCATCTTGTAATCTAAGAGAAATTTCATCGCAAACTTAGAACATAGAGATCCTATCATGAAATAACTTCAGGCCATGCGAATGTTTGAATTAAAAATAATATGCATAAAAATTCTTTTTAATTCAAAAAATTCTATGTAAATTCTATAATTTAATTAATTGTAAATTTTTATTTAAAATATCACTATTATTAAAAAATGTGTAATTAATTTATTGTTACAAAATGATTCTGGTAAAACAAAGATAGATCAAAAAAAATCGATTAGAATGTATTCCAAAATAAAATAATTAATAATATAATTAATAATTAATAATTAGAATTATTGAGAAATATCTATGAACTACGATGTTAGGACTATTGGTGATTATGAAGTGCATATTACTAAATGTATTGGGTAAGGAAGTTATGGAAAGGTCTATGATGGAAGAATAATCAGTTAAAATAGAATAATATGTGTCAAGGTATTGAAAATGAAATGAGAGTAGGTTTTACATTTGACAGAAGAGAAAAGATAAATGTTTCTAAGAGAAGTCGAAATTCTTGAGGAAATTAAGAAGGTTACTCATCCTAATATTGTCAAAATTTATCATTTAGCAGAGTAGAATTAAAAAATATATATTTTCATGGAAAAGTGTAAAGAGAACCTTGAACAATAAATTCAGAAACAGAAAAAGTAGAATTAATCATTTTCAGTTGATTAAGTGCTCTTTATTGCAAAATAAATCTGCAGAGGATATAATGAATTAAGAAAGAAAAATATAATCCACAGAGATATAAAGCCTGAAAATATTTTATTAGGAGAGGATGGATAATATAAAGTATTTTCTTTTTAAACTTAGATTAGTGATTATGGGTTGAGTAAATATTAAAATGCTAGTGAATCTACATTGAGACAAACTTAATTAGGAACACCTTTATTTGTATCACCATAAGTATTGTTTATAGGGATATATTCAAATAAAGCAGATCTCTTTAGTGTAATCTTCATATCTAAATTAGCTTGGATTGACTATTTATTACATTACTTTTTAAGAACCTATATTCAAAATAAAAACCTTAGGGGAATTATCGAATGAACTCAACAAAATTAGAAAGGGATTGAGCTTACCATAAATCAAAAATCAGGGAGATTAAAATTCAAAGCGATATTTAGAAATCTTTTTAAAAAAAACAATTGCATATGAGGAAGAAGAAAGACTAAGTTGGGATGAAATCTCTAGATATTTAGAAGAAAAAAATCAAAATTCATTAATCTTTAATGCACCACCAGAACAAGATAGTAACAAAAACAAAGATACTTTGGGAATTAATTTACAAAGAATGAGGCAAAATGATGCTGATTCTGTCATTTATTCTATTAAACCTACCAAGTAGGAAACAACATAAACTTTAGAATAATAGCCACTAGAACCTTATATTTTTATAAAAAACACTAATTAGGATTCTCAAAATATCTCTTAAAGATTCTAATAAAACCTATAGATCAAATAAAATTAAGATTAAAATGGTCGTTAAATCCAGGATTAAAATTAAATTATAGACAATTTATAACTTCCACAGCAACAATGTTTAGAAACTCGACTCAATCATCCATAAATAAGTCTATTTCAAGTGTAAGATACTCAAAAAGATGTTATAATTTCCGACGTTTGCGATTCTTAGTTTGATTAATCCAAAGAAAATAATTATTTAAAACAAAATAATAATCCTAATATTATCAAGCAAAATATAAGTAGTTCATAATACACTTAAGAAATAATATTTCGTAGGGATTTCCAAGAAAGTTAAGATATATCGGTTGTTCCTCAAAATAACTATGATGATGGATTAAATATAGGTTATGACAATGATTCATATAACTCTGCAAATCATGCACAACAATAAATTATTTTCTTAAATTACCCTGATTAATTACAGAATTAAATACCTTAGGTATTCAAATATGAGAGAAGAAGTGATTGCAAAGATTTTTTTATAAAAAATAATTAAGAACCTTCAGAATCTATAATTAATTTTAACAACATAGATCCCTATGAAGATGAAAATTACTGTTAAATCTAAAATCAATTATCAGTCTCAAAGTAGAATAATTAATAATTTGATGAATAAAATTGCTCTATTAACTATAATGCAGATGGGAAAAATAATCAATTATATGATTTGGATAATCAATTATCACTTAATCACATAGACTCTTAAAGTGAAGTGATATCAGAATCTTATAAATTATCAGAGACAACTTAAAGGGATTGCTTAAACACTTAAAATAAGCTTCAGTAAACTTCAAATTCTGAATTATTTGAAGATGAAGATACTTTCAATTAAAGTCTAAAAGCCAAAAGTTCCATACGTTCATAATTTCAATCTCAAACCTAGTAACCAAATCAAATTCCCTAGATTAAATTCTCTTCTACAAATAAGATTTAATCAACCTGTCCTTCAGATATGATACCTTAAAATAAAATCAGTAACTAGACCACTAATTTAGCCTAATTCAAATATGTAAAATAAAATGAATAAGCTTAATATGGATAATAAATAGGATTGAACACTTAAGAAATTCAATCTTAGAATCTATAGAAGGAGAGAGGCTTTTAAAAAAAAATCCAAAATTTCAATAAACAAGGAAATAATACTTCATATTAATACAACCAATCAAAAGCCTAAGAATTTTAGAATTAAAATGGCGTTTAAAAAATTGAACTCTCAAACAAAATTGTAGAATTTAGCAGTTCTAATGACACCCAACCTGAAAATTAATATTTAAATTAGTAATAGATGATTTCAAATTAAAATGATAAAATCTAAAATGGAAATTAAAATGGTATTTTAGAATAAGGTTAAGGAGTTGCTAGATAGAAAATTAGACTAGTAAAAAAAGTAGATGTTTCCCAGTAAACATAACCACTGTAACAAGTGTTTTAGATAATATTGGCAAAGATTAGATTGGCTGAAAATGTTTTTAATTCCTACCAAGTCTTTAGGTATGATAATTTATTATAACATAGAACAAATCTAAAATTCTAAAAGTTTACAAAACAATTTGAAATTCTCAATTACCTTTTACATTACTACTAATATGCATTGATAGCAAATATAAGATTACTTTTAAAGAATGATAAAGGTTTAAAGGAATGTTATTTACTAAAAGAATTAGATCAATATATTGTTGCTGGTTAAATTGTAGATTATTAAAAGTCAAATTAAAAATAAATAAATGAAATAAACGAAATCTATTAAGAAAAACTTTAGATTTCAACAGTAAATTTATTATTTTTAATATTAGTAAGCATCCAAAGACTTTCAAGATTTTCTTGATAGTAGAGTCAATAATGGAGATATGTTGGATGTGATTAGATTCATTGAGGAGGGAAAGTTCTTTAGGTATATTTCTTACATTGAATTATATGAAAAGTACTTTAAATAGATATTCATTAAATTTAATAGTGGCTTGAATTATACAGAATTGTTAAAGTAAAGATTAGTTTAAACTAGATTTTTTGGATATTCGATTAAATTTATAAAGATTGATAAAGAATTCCCAATTCAAAATTTTAAAATTATTGATCCTAAGTAAATCGATTACATGACAGACAGTTTAGAAACGTTGTAAGAGTTCATATAGAGTTATATGAATGTAAAATGAGGAAATAATGATTCATTTTATAAGACTTATATAATGCTTATAAATTTTAGAGTCTCGAATTCTCTATTTCATAGATTTGGGGTTGGGATTAATGTTGATAGCAAAATAGAGTATAGAATGAAGAATGTTGGATTATAAAAATGATATGAGTGAAGTAATATTTAGACTGAGATAATATTCGTTTTTCTGTTTTTCTGATTTATATTATTATTATATGAAATCAGCTTTATTGGTTGTTGTTTTGATTGCCTGCATTTAGGCAACTACAGTGTCTGAATTGAAAGAAAGACTATCAGGATATGGAGATCATCCTTTTGGTTCATCAATGATCAACTTAGTGAGTGTCAACATGAAAACAGGAGGATCATTAAATGAATTAAAATAGCTCTTATAATAAATAAAGGATGAATTGATAGCCTTGACATAATTACAAGATTAAGAAAATGCAACATTCACAAGAAGAAGCTAAGTTGATTTGGCTAAACTCTAAGCCACACTTGAATAAGCTTAATAAGATCTTGACAACCAAAGATAAGAATAATCAAACTTAACCAATGAATTGAGCACATTGTAAACAAGAGTAAAGGAAGGTATTGTTCACAGAATATCATTTCATAGATTAAGCTGCATTAGACAGAAATGGCAGAGGAAGTGGTGATGCCTAAGGTAGATTAGATGCTGAGAACACAGATTTTGCAGCTAAATATTAAGATTATAGCGATGCAATTCTTGCTTGCAAAGAAGCTCAAAGATTGTTGTTAAATTTAAGAGGTGAAGGAGCATCATTAATTCAATTAACGTATCATTGCTTTTTAAATATGTAGTTAAGACACAAAGAGCAATTTGATTTAAACCAAAGAGAACTTTTAGAAGATCAAAGAGATCTTAGAAGCTCACACAAAAAAAAGTTCTTTGACCTTATTCCAACCAATCATTGAAGGATTAGCTGAAATGTCAACAAAAGTCAACCCAGAAACCTTGAACAATGTCTTGAGTTTGGTGGCTAGATTGATCACTGCATTATAAGAAGGTTAAGATTAATTAGAAGCTAACCATAAGACTTAAGTTGAAAATCTCACTAGATTAGGTGATGATTTAAGAAATGAAAAGCAAACCTTATAAGTCTCATTGGCCACTGCTAATAACAGACTCAAGGAAATCTAATCAAGATTAAATGAATTAGATGGATTAATCAATATCTCTAATGCTATCGTTGAAGTCACCTAATTAAATATTTAAGATGCCACCAGAATCAATGAGTTGGAAGATCAAGAATACAGTAATCAAAAAGTTAGTAGGTAATCTATATAGTCTAATTTAGATAAACTGAAATCGATATCGTTGATAGATTAATTGAATACATCAATCAAAAGTTATCAGAATGAAATCATCATATTCATATAAAATATTCATATTTATCTAGAATCTGTTTCAATCATTCTATGAAATTGATCAAAATTTAAATTCCAAGATTCTGCAATTTTGGCTACTTCCAAAATACGAGTGTCATTGGTTGATTCTGCAGATTTCACTCTTACATTCATTGCTATTGTATCCTAAATTTATTATGTAAATTATTACTATTGCATAAGCCAGGAAAACATCCTTAATAGAAATACCCCCGATATCATGAGTGTTCAGATTAATCTTAACTAAATTATATACATTTTCCCAATCAGGATGATCTAAGATTAAACATCATATTACGATCGATTTATTCTGAAAAAATAGCCACTTAATTCATAAAAGAAAAGGCTTCCTTAAAATTGTTGAACTTGATTTCTCTATACAATTTTTATGGAGTCTTATATTAATCAATAATTTACAATCTTCCATGTTGAATTTAATGAATGCATCTTGCATAATGTTTATATGTCTGAGTCTGAAAGAAGAGTTGGATTTCTTTCCTTCATTGTCTGAAAATCTAAGACCTTGAATGAAAGTTTAGGGAAATTTGTTTATATTGTGCCAAAGGGAAATTTGAAAATTGAAAATATCATAAATTTTAATATTATTGATAATGATGATTTATTATTGAGAATTTATTATATTAATTACACTAAAAGATTATAACCCATAATTCAAAATTCATTAAAAATCACACTTGTTTCTAACACAATTGTAGATGACTAAACGATTAAAATATTAAAGATTTATAATATGAATCAATTTAAATCATTAAACACTTCTGATTTTGCTTTTAGTTAACTTTTTACAAATGATAAAGCGATCAACTAAATTTAATTGCTCAAATTATAATTTAGATCATCTTTATTTTGTATTTAGTTTTACTATTTATCTTTCGAATTCAGATTAAATAAATGTATAAACCTTAATTTATTCCTATTATTAGAATTCTGTTAATTACGATTCAAAGAAAAATCATCAAATTAGGTGTTAAAATCTTATATTCTAATTGCTTTTGAGTTTATTTATAACATGTCTTGGACCCTTCTTAAAGAACATTCTTTCTTGGGGAATTAAAATTTCTGCATCAACAAACAAGAGCTATTATTTTATTGAAATTTTTAATAATTAAAGTTATTTAAATAATAGACAGCTTTCTATAAATTTTTTAGTGCTGGACTAATATAAAGTTTTCTTTTAATCTCAAACCTCCATCTCAGCAGATCTTCATACTTTTCCCTTAAAGTTTTGGTTCTCTTAACTTTAACACATTAGATTATCTCTTGTAAAGGTGAGATAATAAGTTTAGAAATCATCAGATATGAACAAACCAACAAACTAAAATAAGCTGATAATAAAAGTATTATGGTTTAATGTAATGCCTCATCAATTTTTTTTTGTAATATTGTTTTACATTCATTTAGATAATCTTAATAACTAGCATTATCTATAATACTAATCTAAATTAAAGTAATTAATTACAATAAGAAATAAAGTTATTGTTTAGGGAGGTAAAACTTGATAATGCTCTATTAAGAATTGGTTTTCTAATTCATAAATTTGTAGTATTATTAACCATTCTTTTGAATTTCATCCCAATCATTTTTATTAAATCCAGTAATGTTTTAGTCATAGAAATATGCATGTTCTTTACCTTACTAATTTACTAGAATGCCATCCTTTGTTAAAATCATTATGTAAACATCTTTGAAATCCTGTAACATTTTTTAGGTTTTTTGAATTAAGTAATCTGAAAAAATATCTAAACTCCACGCTCCTTTGAATTGAAATGACTTATCAATCAATGGTAGAGTTATCGTTATTCCCACTTTCTAATCCTAATTGACTAATTAATAATCCTCAATAATTTACACAAATAGGGATCAGATATGCTGTAGAAATACTCTTTTTCAATGATGCTATATTCTGAGATATTTTGGGCTAAAAGATACCATGGTCTAGTTTCTGGTTGATATTGTTGAATCTCCTATCCGAGGGCATAGCATGGATAAGAATACAGAGGTCTAGGTTATTCAACTATATATCCATATAAAAAAGCTTCATTGGTATCAAAGTGTGGATGTATTATTTGTCCAATTGAACCAATAAAATCACCAAAATTAACTTGATGAATTTAATCTCGTTCTGTATCGTTAAATTGTTCTTTAAAAGTGTAGCAAAATACAGAATCAGAGAATTTAGAATTGTTTTTGTTTGCAATTATCTAAGGATAAGATTCCAAACCACCAAAATTATTTTAATTTAATGAGGTATTCTAATATATTTTTGTAAAGTAAGCTAAATACAGTTAGTTTAAAGTGATTAGTGGATTAGCATCTAATTTAAATGATCTAAAAATACTTATTTAAAAGTAAGAATTCAAATATTTGTAATAATGGGAAGCATAACTAAATTTATTTGCATTATCTCTCTCATATATAATATTAGATTAAACCAAAAATTCATTTATTATTACTCGTCCTCCAAAGTACCCTGTTAAATATGAAAGTGATGAAAATAACGCTGAAAATATTGCAGAGTATGTTAGTAACACTGTTTTCATTGAATAATTCTGAAAAAATGACATAAAATTAATATTTAAATCGAAATCGATTCCTTTAATCAATATAACTATAGGTGTCACTAAATTTATTTCAAAGTATTTTTATCACAGATTTCTTAATCAAATAAGAGCGATGTTTATTTAAAATAACCTATATATTTAATTTTACTATTTTGTATTCAATTAAGGAATTCTGTAAAAAAAACTGTGAAGAACGAGAAGAATTTAAAGAATATTGGATAAGAAACATTTTCGTATTGAAAATGTATTTTCAATTTTATATAATTTTCATTTACATTTATTTAAAGAGAGTATCTTATTTCACTATTCTACATAAAATGTTGATGTTGATAAATCCAAAAGAACTGAATATGACAATAAAATAATCAACCTTATAATAAATTGCTAACTTGCAAAAATAACAGAAATTTAAATAAACAAAGTTAAATATTTTGAGTTACCTAAAATTAAATATATATGTGAAATTGAAAGGAAAAATGTTCATAAATATATACAGTTATTTCATTTCTCTTAAAGTTTTATCTTTCACATTTTGGAAATTATCTTCTACAAATTTATTTTGTTATCTTAATTTGCACTTTTATATTGTTATTACTAAACTATTATTTAAGCATTAATAAAAATTCCAAAAATATTAATAATGCACTTCAAAATCTTAGTTTAAGATGTATTAGTTTGTTTTCATTAATTAAATGATTTTTGGCTTCGTTTTATTTGAATTTATCAAGTAATATTTTGGGCATGGTAGTGATATCTAATTATTGAGGCTTCAATGGATAGTACAAATTTAGAGGAATAACTAACTATTAAAGTAAGAAGTAGCAGTTTATTATGAGTATTAGGAATTTTAGTAATAAATTAACGGAATATAAAGGTAAATTATTGAGTGTGTTATTTTTGATAGAATAGGTTTTAGCTTATTTTTAGGGTGATTTCCTTTTCTTCTTCTATTTTGTGTTTGATATACGAATGATTGACTAGGTTTTCTCAGTTTATTTTTATGAAGTGATTCTGGTTGAATAAAATTCTTTAAATGAGTGAGATTATTTGTTAGTAGAGTATTTTTGGTATTTTGGTTGAGTAAATCCACAAACTTTTTACTATATTAAACTTATAACCATCACGACTTTGATTATGGGAATTATATTGAAATTGTTATCACTACGATTATGAAACCAAAAGTCAAATTTTATTCGACCTTCCTAAATCAATGAGTGAATTATGATAACTGTTTTTGTTTTTTAATTGATTATAAGTGTGCTTGAGAGACTCTAAAGGAATTTATTTGAAGGCTGATATTGAACTGAAAAATATACTAACAGAGTGAAAAATTCAGTTTAAAATTCAGTGACTTTTAAAAATGAAATGTGACTAAATTCCAAGTTCATTATTAATGTCTAGATAAAAGGAAAGAGAAGATTTATTTGAAGATCCTTTTGACTCTCCATTACGCTACAATCATCCCTAATTTGGCCCTTCAAATGGGTTATGTAGTCCATGTCACTACATTAGATCTAGTATCAGATCAAAATCAATCTTTCTTAAAAAAAGCCCTTAAAATCAATAGAATAACACTACTAAAAAAACAAAAGTAAATAAAAGTTATATTAATGATTTTGATGGACAGATATAGATTCAATAATATATTTTCAGCAACAATAATAAAAGTAAATCAATACATGAGTCTTTAAGCTCATTATTTAAAGAGGTATAGTTGTCATTTAATTGAAATAGAATAAAATCGATGCTAGATATGAGGAACCTAAAGAAGAGAGTTCTTTGGTCAATTATTTACAAGCAATTTAATAATTGATGTAGGAACTAGAATCTAACGTAGGGAATTTAGAAAGAAAATTAAATTTGAATCAGCAGAGAATATAAGAACCCATCATATAATGCAATAATCATTAGTTAGTTTATATCAATCAGAATGTTTAAGGATTGGTTGGAAGAATTTAGTACATTTTAATGCAAAAAAATTTATTACCTGATCGACCATAACCTAATCCTGATGAAAATCAGATCTAACTGAACTTTAACAGGGATTTGAAAAAATACAAGTGTCAGTTCTGTCCATTAAGATTTATTAAAGCTTGTTCTTTGGGGTATTAATTTAATATATATTGAAAGAGGTCATATATCGAGAGTCCATAAAGAAGAATCTAAATAATCAAAATCCACTATACCAGCAAAGAAAAATAAACATATAAAAAAAGAGAAGAAAAATTAGTCCAAATGAAATGATCAAACGATTTGATTGTTAATTTATATATATTTTAAATTTAAATTTAATGGATTATCAGAAATTATTTAATGTCATTCCAAAAGAACCAAGGAGATGGACTCAATGTGATGTTGAATCCTGGTTGGAGTTCATTGGATTACAAGATTTATCAGATGTTTTTTGTATTGATTGATAATTCAAATTTATAGAAAGAAATGCTATTGATGGTGCTTGTTTGGAAGTGTTAAATGATGACGATTTGAATGAATTGGGTATCAACTCTAATGTTAAAAAGAAGAAGATTTTACAATGGATTCAAAACGGATTCATAGAATATAAATAGTTTGTTAGAGACAATGTAGGTTAGAGCGAATGGTCTATTGCAAGCAAATAGATAATAAATAAAGAAAATCTCGATTATACTCCTATTCAAAGATTGAATGATTTCAAACCAAGAAGAGATAGTTTTTAAGATAATCATAAAGTTGAATTGATAGAATCAATGAAAGTAGTTGAAGCACCTTAAATTTTACAATAACCAAAATAAAATCTGGAAGCTACTAAAATTCCATCTTATCCAAATTCTATAAAGTAGATTGAATCTAGACACATCATTGAAATAGTTTGCATTGGTGATAATTAAAAAATCTGTGTGACAGAAAAAGGACTTAGTATAGGAAGAAACCCAGACAATACTCTGATTTTGAGTGAAGATTACGTGAGTAGAAATCATTGTCTGATTGAATTTGATTAGAAAACAAAGAATTTTTATTTGAAGGACACTGGAAGTACTTCTGGAACATTTGTATTGTTGATGCAACCATCGTTAATGAGATTGGGGTTGATATTACATATGGGAAGCATGCAATACAAATTAGAGCAGATGAATTGTAATAATCAATAATGTGATGTGGTATTGAGAGTTGCGGAAGGGTTGCAGAAAAATCAAAAATTTTCATTCTAATTAATTAAGAATCAGAATTGTCTGAAATTTGGTAGATAGTTAGATCAATTTAGGATGGATACAGTAAATATTATTTATAAATATATAGCATTTGTCTGGGATTCATGCTCAATTTAGTTACACAGATGATGGGTTGATTTTGGAAGATATGGGGAGTAGAAATGGAGTATGGGTGAGATTGAGTGAATAAGGGTAGTGTAGTGAAAGAGTGAAGTTGAGTTAGGATAGACAATTTAGACTTGGGTATGAAAAAATATATTTGTGTAATATAAATAATATTAAATGAATAATAATTAAGCCAATTCAGCAATATCTATCAAATTAGTCATTGTGGGTGATGGTAGTGTTGGGAAGACCTGCATTTTGATTAGGTAAGCTTTCTGATGTAAAATATAGATACACACAAGATAAATTTCCAACAGATTATGTTCCAACAATATTTGAGAATTATTGTACATAAATTGCCTACGAGAACAAAATGGTAAATCTCAACTTATGGTAATTAATTACATTTATTTCAAAAAAAGGGATACAGCTGGACAAGAAGAATACAAATAATTGAGGTCTATCAGTTATCCATAAAGTGATGTTTTTGTAATTACATTTTCAGTAGATGAACCAAGTTCATTTTAAAATGCTGTCAAAAAAGTAATTAGATTACATGAATAAATTAGTGGTATCCTGAATTGTAGGCTGAACAACCTAATGTGCCTAAGATTTTTGTAGGAAATAAAATCGATGTAAGACCAACAGAAAATGCAGATGAGAATAAATTTGTGACCTTTAATATAGCTTAGAAAGTTGTTTCTGACTTGGGATGTAAGTACATTGAATGCAGTGCACTAAATGGAACTAATTTAAAATAAATTTTCTTAGAAGCAATTAGATAAGCAATAAAAAAGAAATTCCCTCCCTAACAACCTTAAGCTTCATAACCAACTAAGAATCAATCAGGAGCTCAAAGAAAGAACAATTCTAGTGACAATGATGATGCCAGTGGCAAATGCGCAATTTAGTGATTTTATCAAGTAGCACATAAATATATCTATATAGATTATTATTTTTTTCTTCCTTTTTAATATAATTCAATCTTTCTTTACTTTCTTAGATATCAATTCCACATCGTCCTCTTAATCGGCAGGCTTCTTTTATTATTTAACAAGATGAGTGCTGCTATGTCCTTGAACTGATTTGAATAAATCCATCTCGTCATCAACCACATTATATCTAGATTACATTTGACTTGATGATTGAGTTTATGAACTAAATTATTATTTCATGCAATTATTTTTTAGATTCTTGAAAATGTCATGAATTCTTTGATAATTTGATTCATTTTCTCTTTTCCTCAATTCATCTTCCTATTAGTTATTAATGAATTCTTACTAGAGATGAAATTAATTTTTAACTTATTCCTTCATAGATGATTTTTATTATTTCTAATTGTTAAGAAAATATTAAATTCTCCCTTAATCCCTTATATGATAAAATGACACTTATTAAAGTGGGGATTATCATGACGATCTCATTATTTATATCCTCATCTCTTGACAAACAAATCATCTTTATTATTTGTAAACACTTAGTCTACTATAACTTTTAGTTTTCCTATAAAATAAACCCAATTTTCAATGTCACTTAGTTTAATATCACAGCCTCCTTCACTTATGGTTTCATGGCTCTCACCAACCCTAATGTGATCTCTAAGAATTGTTATTTGTATTCTCTGGTGGAGAGATGTGAAATTTGAGATGCGATTTTTGGATAGAATTGCAGTAAAAATAAATCCATAGTTTCATTCTATTCTTCTGAGTTATTATCAATGAGCAATTTCAATGCTTCCATATACAATTCATTTTAGAAAGCATTCTCCACAATGATGTTGAACAATGGATATTTCAGTACTTGTTGATGTTCACTGATAACATATTATCTGAAATTAGTGGGACAATGTTATAAACACACTATTAACAATTCCAATATCATATTTGGTATTTTAGTGAACACATCCTCCTTTAATGATATTAAGAATGTTATTACAGGTATTTTGAACTTAAGTTTCTTTAATTTGGCTTTGTATTTCTCGAATCCCTTAAGCGAATCGTTGATGTAATCTTCTATTATCTCATACAATCCATATTCACTAAGTTTCTAATATATGACCACTTTATTCAACTATTAATAGATGAATCAATGTTATACATCTGGAAATTCTTTAAAGACTGAACAAATCTCACTTAGGAATCGCAAAGCCAAGAAATTGAAATTTCTTAATTGGTCCATGACTTCTATCAAAAAATCCTTCGAATTTTCTATGTACTTAAAGAGGTCAACATAACAACTCTTTATAATCTATCATGATTTTGATTACGTTAAAACTATCTTTATGAACATCAACTGGCACTCGTCGATGTAGTAGGCCAAACCACAATCGCGCAAGTACTGCAGCCGATATATGAAATGAATGGTTTTAAGTCGCTCTTTACTCTTTATTTGGACTACTTGCAAGAATTACGCATGTTTCTCTAAATACTAACGATGGGGCACGAAATTCTTCTTGTTCATCTCAATATCATCTAATAACACTTAAAACTCAATAACATACATTCTAATGCACCGAAAATAAATAAATAATTCTAATCGTTCAAAATCACTTGAAACAATTCATGTTCTGCCACCGTTACTATCTAATCACAATCAATATATATCTATACATTCTTAACAATCTAACACATCCTTTGTAATAATTTGACATTATTGTCCTTCTCCAATTGTTGGAATAACTTAATCAACTTCTCAAAGTAGTCCTTATCAAACTCATTATACTCTTACCTTCTTATTGATTAGATAATTCGACAACATCTACTTAGAATGAGAACCATATGCTATCATTGTATTCATAGTTTCCAATATGGTCTCCAAATTTGTTTCAGAAACAGGTGTCAATGATATAGAATCCTAATCTTCAGCCTCATTCTCCACCAAAATATTTTGGATACGAGCCCAAACTCCCATTGCTCCTTCTCTACTCTGAAAACTTAAGGCATATTCCTCATTAAAACTAAATTAGATTGCTTCCTCTAAATACAATTTAAATTCAGCCATACCTTCATCAAAACAAAACTTATTCTCTTGCTTTATTGGGACCACAATCACTTCCTGACTTGTGTCCTTTTACAACAATATCAATTCGTTCTATTAATCTCATCTCTATACTCATTACCTTCGAATTTATATGCGTATATCCAATATCTACATAATTCCATTTATCTGGTCCAAGCTAATACATCTAACATAAAAGAATTTCAGAATTAGGTTTCATTTTGATATTTTAAATATTAAATCTTATTTTATGCAAAATAAAAGAATGAATATATAATTGCGCTTTATTACTAATTTTCTCATTCTACAAAGGCTAAAACCTCTCTCTCTCTTTCCTTTCAATTACTGATTATCTATTATTTATATAAATAGCTTTATATATATATATATCTATTTATCAAAAATCAATCATTTTCTCTATAGTATGGCATTGGACCACCAACATCGCCATCAAATCACTATGTTAATTAGTTTATTATTAACATCTCATTGGCATTACATCACTTTCTAAATTTTCTAATAAATCCACGTCAGAATTCGTCTTTATTGAACTATTATGTGAAACACATTATTTTATCTTCATATTATTTCCAAATTGCTATAAAATTTTCATCTTCTACTGGATAGTGGTCTTCTTATTATTTAAGTCTTTTTATAGAACCTTAATTGATATTGGGATGTCACCCTATTGTTTCTATAACAGATCATTAGTGTACAAAGTCATTTGTCCTAAATACAAAGCTTCATCTGTGATTAAACTCTAATGTATTATAAATAATAATTACAATAATTTTATTTTACTCTTATTATTATTATAATAATTCATTATTTTATTATTATAACAGTTTGGAATCATTTTAATTTTATAAAGAGGCCTGTAAAACTTCGCATTTCTCCTATAATTTTAAAATTTATTATTAATATCCTTTACATTCTGCTTCGTATTATTATTAAATTTTCTTAAATTAACAATTATCATTGATAATAGAATTTAACTATTGACATTACTTGTTATTCTCTTAAAGCAAATCAAAGTATTTTTGTTCTACTTACTTTAACTATTCAATCTTAGTTTTAAGTAAATCATTTTCTTAAAGTAATGAAGAATTTTATTGAATCACATTGTCTAAATTTTTACTTATTTCTAAAATTCTTGAATTTAATTCTTAATAACATCCTTAATTCTATAAATTCTTCTAAAGTTCATTAATTTACTTATTTTTTTCATTTAATTGATCTTAAAACTCTTAGATAGCAAAGTTCTGTTTATCTTAAGATTATAATTCAAAAATCTTTTCCATCAATTATCTATTGATAAATGTCTATTCTTCCAATAATCTGAGATTGTTTTATGAATCACTATCTATTTGAGTTTTTCTAATATTTCTGCAATAAGGAGACTTTGATTTAGAACTCATTTAGGTCATAAATCTGTCATCATTCGTCTTATAATTAGATTAATTAATAAGTGAACTATTGTTCTCATTGGTTTCATAATTTGATAAATTAACACCAAAAGAACTCTTTAGAAATTGTTATTGATTCATATTATCTTTTAATGTTTTTATCTACTTATTCAACTTATCAACTTAGTTTGTTAATACATTTTAATTACTTTAAGATTGTAATTAATTGATTATCTCTTAAACTAGATTTTGAGTATCATAGACCATTTTTTATAACTATATTTAACCTTTAAAAGTCAATTAATCCATATTTTAATTCTCCAATTAGGATTTCAAATATTCAATTTGTTATTCATAGTGATAATTATCATTGCCTCTAAATGTCTCTGAATTATTATTTAGTTCTTATAAAAGTAAATATATAAAATATTTTAAGGTAATTAAGTCAGTGCATCTGTAGAAATCAAAGCATTCATTTGAGAATTCTTAACAAAAACATTTAATTTTTGCCAATGATGGGGCACATTCATCTTGATTTTAATCTTTTACTAATTTAAATTGTCTCAATCTTTTAGTAAGAGTTTATATTTTCTGAATACAATTATAATTTAATCTTGTTTGATGATTCGCAACGCTATGAACAGAGTATTTATCTTAGTTGATAGATTACTCTGTTTTTATTGGTGACTACTCAATTTTACTGATATTTTCTAATCTTTTATTGATGATTGTCTCGTAATAGCTTTGAGTGTCAATTTGCTTATTAGATCCATATTTCTTGCATTACTTATGAGTATTAAAGGGAGATAGATTAGCTGTAGTTTTAGAAGCAGTAGTTGATCTGTTTTCACTTGCGTGATGACTATTAAGATTTTTCACTCTCATTTCCAATCCTTACACTTTACTTTATAAATAATTGGCGCATTGTTAGAATTCTGGGCAATTACTAATGATTGCAAATGGTTATCTATTAACTTTTGCACTTCCCTTTCTTGAATGACATGAATTTGGTGTTTGAAAAGGTTTCATCGATTTTCGATTTTAAATTATTTGTTTTTTATTTTAACAGAATATAATTGTGAAAAATTAAATTAATATTATTGCACGTTTAAAAAAACCCAAAAATAATTAGATAATTGATTAATTATAAATTACTTTAACTATGAAGAAGCCTCTATCAAATTCTATTCTATACTCATTTCATACATGCTGAATCACATTTATTGTGTAGATTAGTACAATAATTGTCAACTACAACAATGAAATCAGCTTTTTTATAATTGATGTAGAATTCCTCAATTTTAACAGAAATAAAAAATGATGTTAATTTTTATTAGGATGAGAAAATCTACTTCATTCTTTTAATGAATACTTATCATTTTAACAAACCCTATAAATGATGGTAAGTAAATAAAAACCTCAAAAATTGTGTCTGATCAAAATCTGAAAATAGTTTTCCTATTATCATAATCAATTTTCATTTAGTCAAATATATTTTTATTTGAGAATCATTAACAAGCATCAATATATTCAAATGGAAAAAGTTGCCCTTGATATTAATACATATACGGGGTTGAAAATAAATATTATAAAATGATATAAAAAATATTATGCTGAATGGAGGAGTATAAACCTTAAATTCATATATAAAACTATGGATATTAATACATGCTTGATTCAATTATTGGTACAAGAATTGAAATTTTAATACGATCTTATGAATGGTATTCTTAAATGTCAATGTATTTCAAATTCATAACATGAAATCCGAAATCCGCATATTATATAAGATAAAGCAGAATATTTAAGACATGCAAGCCTTTCTTCTATATCCTATAAGAAATGAAAGGTTATCCTAATGCAAGCTCTATAGTAAAAATTTGAAATTGTATTGCTTTTGCCTTTTTATTTAACTAATGTTAAGTTGGATGATCAATCTCAGATTATAAATTTGATTTTACTCTTAGAATCATAATTTGAAGGAGTTTGCACGTTTGTATAATCAAGAGTAGGCTATGAATCTGAGTGAATAAAAGTGTATTAGACTATTGGGTTCAGAGTGGTTAAAAGAAAAAGATATATGCATCATTTTCTAATGCTTTATCAGATATTGAAGGTTTGGTTAGAGTCATTGATAATAGAAAATCGAATTCTATATATGAAATGATAATCTCTTCGAAGTGAGAATGCAATAATATAAAGAGTATACCCGAATTGTGATATATTAATGGGCGGGCAAACGATGCGCCACTTATTTATAAATTGTTATTTTTTATAATTCTTCTTAATAATAAAATAAATGAATAATTGTTTGTTAACACCAAAGATTAAGCAACAAAAATGCCCTGAAGCTCCTAGAAAATAGTTAAACTTTACTAGAATAGATGATCAATCTATTAGATCTGTTTGCCGCATACTTTTTGTTGAAGAAACAAAACCAGAAATAATTCTAACCTAAACTGCTTGATTTTTCTATTTTTGTGTATATTTACATTCTAATAATTCATTTGAAATTAGGGTTTCTGATTAATAATTATCATCATCATATAAAATTTAGTAATAAAAATTAACAATAAAATTGTAGTAATGGATTTGAGAAATAGAAACACAAGAAAAGTGCTTTTCCAGATGTTGGAGAAATAATTGAAATCTATAATGACTGAAAATACTACAAAAGTGAGATATTAGGAATAGCTGACAAGATTTCAGATCTATGAAGATTAAAAGAAAGCTAGATAAAAATAACATAGTCCATCACCTTAATTAATGAGAACACATAGTTAATCAGATCACATCCAATTTTATGAGAGACAATAATCCTAATTAAAATTAAAAAATGACCGATTGTAATAATCAAAGGAGAAATCTATATAAAAAAAGTTATAAGAAGAGATTCAAGAAGCAACATTTCATCCTAAAATCCTTAAGCCTAAAAGTTAGAACACCTAGAAGAATGACTTGTATTAATAAGGAGTGAAATGGATGTAATAAAAAGTATTAATTATTAATAGAAAAGGCTGATCATATTGATAAATTGAAGGAATCTTCTATGATCCAAATAAGTCAAGAGAACTTATTCAAGCCCATTGTTAACAAAGTATCCGAAAAAATAATCAAAACAACCAATCAAACTGATTTCTTTCAGAGAATGAATAAAAATGAAGATAAAAAGAAGGAGAAAATAAAAAGACTTAAGACTGATGCCACTCCCACTTTCAAACCAAAAATTAATGGTATTTAATTAATTTAATCCTTTAGATCGGTCAAAGAGAGTATAGAGTACTTTGAATAAGGACATTCTATAAGTTTCTGTTAATTTAGAATTAATGGAGAAGTTTCGAAATTATAATCAAAGAGATCTAAATCTATCTTGTAATGAATATTCCAGATAAAGAAATTGTTCATCAGCATTATCATAATCTATTGATATTGATAAATAGACAAGCGACTATCCAAGTTTTAGAAATTCAACTACAATTAAGAAATAACCTAAACTACAAATTGATTTCAATAGTCCCTCTTAGAATATGTCAGAAATGTTATATGAAGCATTAGGTGACTAAAATTATGATTACTTTTGAATTTTCATATATTTAAATATATTAATATATATATAAATATGCCTAAAATTAAAACCATAAGAACTAAGAAAGCCCCTGAGGGATGGGATCTGATTGAACCTACCATAACAGAAATTGGAAATCAAATAAGAGATGTTGAAAATCAAGCATATAGTGATAAGAAGAAACCAGAATAATTTTGGGAGATTTACAAATTGCATCATTAGAGGTATAGTATTCATTTAAATATAAAGATCTCGTTATATTTATGAAATGTACTATTACAAAAAGGAGATAACCAGAGAATTATATGAATTTTGTTTATAAGAACAATATGGAGATGCAACATTAATTGCCAAGTGGAAGAAGACTGGCTATGAGAAGCTGTGTTGTTTACATTGTATATCTAAGTCTCAGCATAATTTCGGAGGAGCATGTATTTGCAGAGTTCCTAAAGCCAAATTAGAGGAAGGTAAATTGGTGCAATGCAAACAATGTGGATGTAGAGGTTGTGCTAGTGGAGATTGATTTAGTTATCTATAAAACAGTATGATAAGTTTTAATCATCCGTATTTTAAAATATATTCTTAATGTTTAAATAAAATTCATTTTCTAAGATAATCCCACTTCTGGATAAGACACGCCATAAAGGCCAAAATGGGAAGATTGCCAGTATTGGGAGATCATTTGAATAAACAGGAGCACCATATTATGCAGCCATTTCCACATTGAAAGGAGGAGGAGATTTGGCATAAATCTTTAGTACTAATTAGCTGCAATCCCTATAAAGAGTTATAGTCCTGAATGCATAGTCTATCCTTATCTATTAGAAGAAGGCTAAGAATAATAACTGCGTGATTCAATTAATAAATTATTGTCATCTGCTCAGGTAATGCATTCATTAGTGATTGGCCCTGGGTTAGGAAGAGAACAATTACCAGCAAAGTCTTTATGAAGAACTATTCAAATAAAATAATAGTATCAAAATATCGGATATAGAGTATCAGATAATACTGCTTAATTGAGTATAAACGAATAGTAATCATGCTTTATGTATTCAATGCTCATGCATTGTGGCATATTCCATAGAAACAGAATAAATTGATTACAATCATCAAAGAAAGAGTGGTCAATTTAAATTAACTCCAAATGCAATGGAAATAAAGAGATTATTAGAATATTTTCTGATGATATAAATTACATAAATCAACTACAATGTCCTAAATGATCAAGATGTAAACTCTAAACAAATTGGCATTGATGATGGATACCCAGCTTTAATGGCTGTAATAAGTAGGAAATTAAATAATGTCATCTTGGTATTTAAAGGATAGAATGATATTATACCAAATGGGAAATGGGATATGTAGTTTAAATAGTAGGATCTTAAAAGAGATGTGGAGGTAAGGGTGATATTTTGAGTGGATTGATTGGACTCTACTCTTATTGGTCTTAAGAATAAAAGTAGACAAGATCTAAGAATGTATTTAAAAAGTGTAGTGACAAGAAGAGCTGCTAATATGGCATCTAAAAAGAGCATTATTCATCGACTCCTAAAATTATTGATCATATTGGAGATGCACTATATTCATTTGTTTCAGAATAATGATTGATTATTTGTTTGTGTTTTTTATAATATAAAATTCAGAGTTTTGATAATATATGATATCTAAACGGTCTATGAAACTTGATTAATTTCATTTAGGGAATTTTGTAAAGTATTATTACTTTTAAATATCTGCAAATATTAGTTTATTTGAAATTAGTTAAATTAAAACTATTAGAGATATGAAATTAAGAAACTTCTTAAAATCTGAAGGAGAATCATCTGGAAAGGAAAAATATGCATAGAAAAGCCGCCAATTTTAATATGTTATTATAGAAAATTAACCAAAATAAGTTACCTCACAAAATCTAATTTACTTAATAAAATTTAGATTTAGTATCTTTTTTTGAATTAATAAAATATTTTAATATTTATATTACGAAACAATTAAGATAAATTTCATAATGATAAATGCTAATATTTTCATTAGCAATATTAACATATTATTTATGTTGAATGTAATTTTTAAGTAAATAAATATATTCTCTAATTGTTGATAGTGATATCAATATGATGATTTAATGTGTCTATAATTATTGATGTCTAAATTATTTAAAATTTAGTCTTTATATTTGATCTCGTTCTTAATATTGGTATTAATTATTCAATTAAATATTTAGAAATTAACTATAATAATTCTTAAATTATTTTAGAAATGATTAGAAATGTATCTTTATGTATATTTAATTTTTTTACACTCTCAAAATTATTGAAAATCATTTATTTTTTTCTTTATTTCTAGAGGAAGTAATTCTGAGATCTTTTGAATTCATGTAGGCAAATTATTGTTCACTATTAGGTAAAATTTGCTTTTATTAGATTGAATAATCACTTTACAATCTTTATAATTCTTACATACAATATCTAATTCTTGAAAACCTTCATTATCAATGTATAATGACAAATCCTCTTATTTCGATAAAGGCAGAGAAATATTTAGAGTTATACATATACAATCCTAGGGAATAACCCATATAATATAAATCGACCATTTGCTCTGCTAAATAGCTCACTGATGATCTAAAGTTTTAGATTCCGATAAAGAAAAAAAGACGAAAGACTGCAAGCAAGATGTATAAGAATGGTAAAGAGATCTTCCTATAAAGGTCACTGGACCAAAAAGGAACATAATTTATAGAAACAAACAAGGCTATTATGATGAAATCAGACCAAAAGAAACAAGAAAAGATCTTTCAATAGATGTCTCTTGTGATTAAAACACGATCACCATCGCAATGCCGATCTCATCATCAAAAATTTAATCCTTTCTTAGAATATTATTTATTATTCATAAATACAAATGATTCAAACTATTTTCTACTAGAATCAGACTCTTTAGAGCCT